AGGCGGTTCTTCTGAGCGTTGATGGCTCCAAGCTTGATGGCAACGTCTGCTTTCTTGTCTGAGGCGCAGCGCGAGGAGCAAAGAAACCCAGGATACCCTGACGAAAAGCACATGGTTTCTTAATGCGGGCCCCCACTGTATGGGGGAGGGGGGAACGATGAGCAATCAAAAACTTGAGACCCTTTGGGTGGGGACCTAAGTTAGGAGGGCCAGACGCATCAGGGACATGGGTCTTCTCTGCGGGTGCAGAGACAGGGGCAGTACGTGAGGCCACGTGCTCACCATGATAGCAAGACGAGGGCTTCTTTTGTCCTCAGTGAGGGAAGGCTTAGGAGGCTGCTTTTTAGAAGGCGCGGGCCTTACAACTATAGATAATGCCCGCGCCTTCTCAGAAGCAGGGGTGCGTCTAAGGAACCCTCCCCCCCTTAGACCCCTACGTCGGGCATGTCCTCTCACGGGAGGGCTTTGAAAGACACATGAAGCATAGTCAAACCATACTGCTTGCAGACTATGTTTGAACATTCTTGAGCATGACTCCTGTAGAAGGACGTGAAGATAAGAGCGCGAAGATCGTGAAACCATGCTGCCTGCGTGAAGATAAGAGCACGACACATGGCCACCAGACTACTCTTGAACATTCTCCTGAGCACGACTCCTGCAGCAGGCCGTGCGCGACTTGGCAGCACGCCCCTGCTCCGCGCGTGGCCGACCCGGCCTGCCTGGCGCCCGCCGGGGCGCACACCGCTCTCGGCCGCTGGCGGCCAGGCTCGGCCCGCATCGAAGCGGGACCTCGGAGGTCGAAGTGGATCGCGCGCCGGCTGGGCCGCATCGGTTGGAGGCCTGGGAACGGGCACCAACACCAACACGGAGGGTTGCCTCCACCAGGGGGAGATGATCCTAGATTTCGGCGCTGGTGGTAATATTTCGGTCACCTTGGAAGCCAGACTATTACCACCATCACCGAGATCGGGATCTTCGTCCCTCGGTGGATGCGCACCGCCGATATTGGTGTTGGTGTCAATCTCTAGGCCTGCGAATCGGGGCGGAGTCGAGGTCGACTCGGATCGGCCGCGGCAGGATGCAAAACAGATCGCGATGTAAGCATCGGGTCAACCGGGGTCGTCGGAATATCGGCATCGAGTCGGATCGGGCCGACCAGCACCGACATCGAATCGGAGCGATCGGATCGAAGTGGACCCTGAGAGGAGGAGGAGGAGGAGGAGGAGGAGGAGGAGGAGGAGGAGGAGGAGGGGAGGAGGAGGAGGAGGAGGAGGAGGAGGAGGAGGAGGAGGAGGAGGAGTGGTGCAAACTCAAGAGTCATCAACGATGTTGGAATAAACCCTCCCTCCAAGCTTCCTCTCCATATGCTCCTACAACGGTTCATTTCCATTGAGGGAACTGCCTCGTTGTAAGACAACCGTTTGAAGACCCTGAAGCATGCCAAAACATTGTTCTCGGGATTCCCACGCCACGGATCAACTTGAATGTTGCGTCTTGACGATCTTGAATCGTGCCAGAACGCCATTCCTGGGACTCCGATACGGTGAATAAGCGTAACTGTTGCACCCTCATAATCCTGAACCCTTCCGAAGCACAATGCCTGGTACTTTGATCACGGGATTCCGTGAAGCTCTTGCACGTGTTTAAAACGAATGTGCGCGGCGCTAAAGTTGGAACCACATGTTGAAAAATGAACCGCCCTCAATCCGTGAAACTCTTGCACATGTTGAAAAGGAATGTGCGCGGCGCTAAAACGATAATCACATTTTGAAAACTGGTCCCCCTCAATCCGTGAAACTCTTGCACGTGTTTAAAACGAATGTGCGCGGCGCTAAAGTTGGAACCACATGTTGAAAAAGGAACCGCCCTCAATCCGTGAAACTCTTGCACATGTTGAAAAGGAATGTGCGCGGCGCTAAAACGATAATCACATATTGAAAACCGGTCCCCCTCAATCCGTAAAACTCTTGCACGTGTTAAAAACGAATGTACGCGGCGTAAGGCGAGAACCACATAGTGAGAACGGGTCGCCCTCAATCCGTGAAACTCTTGCAATCTTATTTTGAAAACGGGTTCCCCTCAATCCGCGAAATTATTGTAAGTTTTTAAAACAAATGTTCGCGGAGCGAAGGCAAGAGCTAAATTTTGAAAACGACCCGCCCTCCATCTGTGAAGCTGTTGCCCATTTTGAAGCGTCAAGGTCATACATGGTGAGGAAGTCTCAGGCAGAATGCCCGGCCCGCCCTTAAAACTGGCCTCGGGTGCGACAGGGACACCTTATTTATCAGGAAAAGAATGGAGGAGGAGGAGGAGACGGAGGAGGAGGAGGAGGAGGAGGAGGAGGAGAAGGAGGAGGAGGGGGAGGAGGAGGAGGAGGAGGAGGAGGAGGAGGAGGAGGAGGGGGCTGTAGCCATCGTCCTGCCGTATGGAACGCCGGGTAAGGAGCGACGGGGCTTTTCTGGCCACGGCGAGCCTCGGCCACGAGTAAGCTTTCTACCCGGATCTGAGAACCCGCCCGGAAACCAGAGCCTCTCCTGATCACGAAGTGGTCCTTACAGTGGGGGCTCGGCCACAAGACACCTCCGCAAGAAGCCCAACCCTGAAATCCGCGACTTGTTCAGTGAGAACCCAAATTGGTCGATCGAAGATCGTCAAGGATCTTATTGGGGGCCCATCGAAATCCAAGAAACCCAGGGCACTCTGGCAGTCGATCGAAAATCGTCAAGATCTTATTGGGGGCCCATCGAAATCCAAGAAACCCAGGGCACCCTGGCAACATCCAACTGGTTTCTTGGCACGCGCCCCCACTGTATTTCAGCGCCTTGAGCGTACGGGGAGGAGCTTGCGCGCAGCGTGCCGCGGCGGCGGCCCCTGCGACACGCCAACGCCTTGCAAGCTCACGGCGGGCCGCTCCGCTCCGCAGGGTGGGGGGGCTGGGGCGAGCGCGGGGCACTGGCGCTGGGGGACGGGGACGTGGCTACTCCAGATTTCGTAATAAAGGGGAGGGGGTCTGGACCCTCCAAGACAAGCCACTTCAGACCTCCCCCGTGGGAGAACCCTCCAAAACATCGTCCTCAGAACCCCCAGGCCCTCCAAGATAGCCTGGAAGAGACCCCCCCCCGAACTGAGACCCCCCTCCCTTTATTACGAAATCTGGAGTACCGTGTCAGGCCGTAGCGTGGGGGGCCAGAACCGGCGGCGCGACAGGCTGAGCGGCAAACGTTTCAGAATGTAGGACAAGAGGAGCAGGCATTTGACTGCCACCGCACCTCGACAGCAGATCGCCCGCGCGCTGCTGCCATCTGCGAACTCGACATGGCAGAAGAGCACCACTGATCAAACCAGTCTCAGTGCTAACGATTCTCGCACCAGGTCGCCGCGTCAAAACAAGGGAGGGTGACGTTCGATGGCTGTTTCTTGCGTTTCTGGCCCTTTCCAAACATCCGAGGGCTTCTGGAGGCCCTAGGAGGCCTCTGGAGACCTCGAAGGACCCCGTAGCGACCTCCAGATGGAGGGGTCGGAGGGAGCTTCGGCTTCGACGTCGCGAGAGAGGGCGTCAAGCCGACGACGGTCGAAAAGCAAACGGGGGCGAGTGGGCCACATCCGCCCTCCCACGACCCCACCCGCCCGCCAAGTCGACCCCCTCCGTGGATCTCAAGGTGGTGCGTCTCATGTGCCGCTGGCTCCCGGCACTCTGGCGCTGCTCGACGACGGGGAGGGACAGCAGAGGCGGGAAGCCAACAGACGACGCTCTGGCCGCTCCGACGCTGCGGCCAGGAAGGCTCGGGCCCCAGACCCTCTCGAGACGGGAAAGAGGTCGCAGCGGCCAATCTCGGGCCCTGGGGAGCGCTGATCCAGCCCAGGGACCGCCGACAGGAACGACGTGGTATGAGAAGCTGGCCCTGGGGAAGGCGTCTGGACATCTCGGGGGGCCTCCCGCCGCGAAAGAAGCGCGACGTCGGGGGTCTGCAGGGGAGGGGGGGGGGGCCAGCGGGACAGAACCTGCTGCTCTAAGGAACTGCATCGTACAGGCCCGGGAGGCCCCAGAACCTCCTCTGCGGCCGCCAGTCGCGGGCGCGAGCTCCAGGACAGCGGGAGGGAAGAGAGGACCGGGTGGGTTGGGGATAGGGCACATCCGCTGCTCCCTGGCCAGGCCCGTCCTGAACCCAGCAGTGGTGAACACGCCACGCCCTCCTGGCTCGGCCAGGGGGGCGACAACAGAGCTCCTGGGCCCGAGAAGGGCCCAGCTAGGGGGCACAGACTTCGTCGCCCGGTGGGAGGCGACCGGCACGGAGACGAGGGGAGGAGCGACGGCGAAGTGGGTCCCGCTTTTTTTGTGTTGCAGCGGTGGCGGATTGCACGCCGCGTCCGTGGCCTTCGCGGGATGGCGCTGCTGGGAGAATTGGGCCCAACCTGGGCGGGGGGCAGGAGATGGCGGCCGCGGAGGAGGGAATGAATTGAGCAAGGACCGACCGCGCCGGCACTCCTATAGGCCTACTACAACATGTTCTAGAACAAAACAACGCTCCAGGAACAAAAGCCAGGTTCATAAGGACATAAACCGGATGTGTTGAGCCACGACGGTCTTAGCCAGAAATGTTCTAAGAACTTTTCGTTCAAGCCACAAAAGGTTCTTACAACATTCTTTGGTGGGCTTATATAGAGGCCTCCCAGATGGGGTCGGAGTAGATGGGATCGGAGGATCGCGCCGCATCGCCGATACATCGGCGATGCATCGGCAATTCATCAGCGATGCATCGGCGATGCGCCAGCGGTGTACGTCGACGTGGACGATGCATCGACGACGTCGACGTGAAGCAAATCGGGCTCCACATCGAGCCGCGTCGCCGATGCATCGACGATGCGGCGCGATCCTCCGACCCCATCTACTCGGACCCCATCTGGGAGGCCTAGATTATAGGCAAGAACGGCCTTAGCCAGAACTGTTCTAAGAACTTTCCGTTCAAGCCACAAAAGGTTCTCAGAACATTCTTTGGTGGGCTTATAGGCAAGACAGGAAGCCTCGTCACTGCTGGAAGGAAGTGGCACACTCAGAATTAGGACAGGCGACGCACTAAGGGCACACCGAGGGGTCCACGCGCGGGCACAGCTCAACTACCTTGGCCTTCTCTGCGCCGCCCTGATGAGTACAGTCGGGGCGTTGACCTAAGGAACCCCAAATAAGGAACGAGCCCCCTTTTTTTCCATAAGTTAAATTTCGATTCCCCATCGAAAACCTTGGGAAAACCTCAAGCAAGCTGTGAAACAATCAAGGAACACGGAGCCCCTCCCCAACGAAAAGGGTTCCTTCTTCAGGGCCCCGACTGTACTCTGCAGACGGGGGGATGCTGGTCGATGCAGGAGCGCGGTACTCTTCTGCCGCTTTCCTGCACCACCCCGCGCGAAAGTTGCTCTGGCTGCTTCTGCTCCTCCCCATCTCCACTTCCTCCTCGTTCTCCTCCTGCAGGGCCGCACCCCTGGGCCACCAAGCTGGCCGGCTGGCCACGCGCCTTGAGCTTCCAGAGGAAGCCCTTGAACCTGGGCTTGTAGCCCTCGGTAGACATCATCTTCTCGTCCAAGGCCTTCCTGCGGTTGCGCACCTCTTGCTGGCATGGCGCCCTCCTCCTCGTCGTCGTCGTCGCTGTCCTTCTCTTCCGCCTCCTCCTTTAAAGGTTGAGCTGGTACCGCCTCCTCCTTCTCCTCCTCCCCTCTTTCTCCTCCGTCTGCCCGTCCTCATCCTCCTCCTCGTCTGCCTTGTCCTTCCCCAGATTGGTCGCTGTTGCGCACCTTGAGCCGGAACCGCCTCAGATCCTTGGCCATTGTGCCGCCGAAACGCATCGTCTTGATCACGTCGTGCCTGGCGCGAGTGCAAGCCTCCATCCATTTGCTGCAGTCGTCCTCAGACTCGGACGCGAAGATCAGGCTCTGGTCGGGCGTGTAGACCTGGAAGGCGTGCTCCCTAGCGCTGCCCTCGAACCTGGTCACAGTAGCCTTAGGTCGGGCCTGTCCCCCTACAGGGGGGTTTTGGACGAAAAATTAAAGAGACCCCCAAACTATTCAAAAGATGCCCCAAAATATTAAAAAAATAGCCCCCAGGCTATTTATTGACTATTTTGAGTATTCCTCCTGTGGAGGGACAGGCCCGACTTAACGGTGGCCTCGTGGAGCAGCCCCTCGTCCATCAACTTCAAGCGCTTGTTGTCCTCGGGCCGCTATGTGCGGGCCACCCCGAGAGGCGGGCCGACCCGCCCACAGACAAGCACGCCCCTCCTCCTCCTCCTCCTCCTCCTCCTCCTCCTCCTCCTTCTCCTCCCTCGGGACGGCGAAAGTCAGTTGGAATCCCAGCAGAGAAGGCGCCTTGGCTCCCACTGGCCCTGCTCTAGCTGGACTTGGCGCCGCCTGGGAGGACGCCAAGTCCAGCTGGAGGCCCACCAGACGGAGCCTCTTGGCTTTAACTGGATTCACTCTGGCTGGACTTAGCGTACCTCCTCGAGGCTCTACACCACCCAACAAGCCAACGGCTATCAATCCGTAATGCTCTCTTGGCCTCCGGTCGAAGTCTGCTTGCTTGGCCGTCCCTGGGGTCGCCCTGTGGCCCAAGGGGTGGCCCGGCCGACGCGCTCCTTGTGGCTGAAGTAGCACAGCGCGCCGTTGTTCCCGATCCATATGTCGCGCTGCAGCCAGTGAGAGGCGTCCATCGGGTCGCCCTTGTTGTTGAGCTTCCAGAGGACTCCCTTCAGGATGTACCTCTCGGAGTTGTCCTCCGCGCGGCTTCGGTGGGAGAGCAGGGCGGAGAAGGTGAGTGTTAGGGAGCAAGAGGGGTAGACGGAGCAAGATGAGGAAGACAATGGGCAATAGGGCGAGGAGGAGGAGGAGGAGGCCAGAGAAGACCAGGGGAATGACGAGGAAAGATGCAGATGGTCATGAAGTCGCTGTACGGCGCTAAAGTCACGGTGCGCGATGCGATTTCAACTTCCCGATTTCGAAAGAATTGCCGCGCCGTGCCGTGTCGCGCCTGGCTGCCACCATGCGATAAACAAATCCCGTGCCGTGCCGTGCGCGGCTTCTCCAAAAAAACGACACAAACTGCTGTTTGGCGTGCCGTGAGCCGTGCCGTGAGGTGCCTTGGCTTCCGGAAAGAAGAACTGGCCGTGCTGAGTCGTGTCTGGTTTCCAGGATGCGAGCAAATTGCAAACTTCCAGGACTGCAAGACTTGGGGCTCCACTCGACTCGACTTCCAGAATGCTGGCGTGCTTGGCTTCCAGGACTGCAGGAAAGCTGTCAACATTCAGACGGCACGCCGGGCCGTGCCGTTCCGTGCCTCCGAAGGTGCCGCGAGCGTGCCATGCCGTGCCCCCGTGCCGAGCGAGCCGCGGTTGGCTTTGACAGTGCGTCACACATGTGGCACATGTGGTGCCGTGCCGTGCTTCGTTTCGAGACTGCGACACGACAGCGCTGCGGTGCCGTGCCGTGCCCGCGTGCAATGCCTTGGTTGGCGTCGACAAAGCGGAGAATACTGCCAAGCCCTCGTTTGGTGCCCTGCTTGGCCTCGATCCATTGCTCTGCCGTGCCGTGCCCGCGTGCTGTGCTTGGTTTTGAGAAATGCCAAGAACATGTGGTGTCGTGCCGTGCTTCGTTTCGGAAAAGAAAGACAACATTTCGGTGCCGTGCTGTTCCGTGCCCGCGTGCCGTGCCTTGATTGGCGTCGGAATAAAGAGGGGAATCATGCCACGCCCGCATGTGGTGCCATGCTTCGCCTCGAAGATGCGAACAATTTGCTCTGACGTGCCGTGCCCGCGTGCCGTGCTTGGTCTTGAGAATGCCAAGAACATGTCGTGTCGTGCCGTGATTCGTTTCGAAAAAGCGACACCATCGCGGTGCCGTGCTGTGGCGCGCCCGCGTGCAATGCCTTGATTGGCGTCGACAGAAAGGGCAACACTGCCATGCCCGCGTGTGGTGCCGTGCTTGGCCTCGAAAGTGCGAGCAAATTGCTCTGCCGTGCCGTGCCCGCGTGCCGTGCTCGGTTTTGAGAATGCCGCCGAGAACATGTGATGCCGTGTCGTGCCGTGCTTCCTTTCGAAAAAAGCGGCACCATTGCGGTGCCGTGCCGTGCCGTGCCCGCGTGCGGTGCCTTGATTTGTGTCGGCAGAGAGGGAAATCATGCCATGCCCGCGTGTGGTGCCGTGCTTGGCCTCGGAGGTGCTTGGCCTCGGAGATGCGCGCGGAGCGCGCCAGTCGCGGCGCCGGAAGCGCCGCCAGGGGCGCCCAGCGCCGATCCAAGAAATCCGCGCTCCGTGATGCTCTTTTTCCCCTTCAATGGTCGTACAGTGGGGGCGTTGGTTAAGGAATGCGCCCAGGAACCTTCAGACCCTAGCAGATTCCTTATCTGATGAAGGCGGCGACATCCGTGACCACGCCTCGATCCGGTTTTTGTTTTCGAATCTTTTCCTCTGGCAGGGGTCCCACGACCACAACGCGAATCAACATGTCGCTAGGCAAACCAGGAATACCGCACAAGCCGACCTGCAATAAGCAAATTCATGCAATGAGCTGTGGCCTGAACAACGCATGGACACTGATGTTGCTGCAGGAGGAACAAGACAAGGAGGAAGGGGGGAAAGGGAAACAACAACAGGAAACCTCGGGCGAACGCCACAGTACGAGACGTGGCCGTGGCTCAACTCGTGCGGCACCAGGCTCTCAGCCCTCGGATTCCTCGTTCAATGGTTCCTTATCCACTGCCCTCGCCGTATCTCGGGGGCTCGCAGACATGGATCAGCGATCCATGGATTTGGCGCGCGGTCGCCAAATCCCTGGATCGTGGGAGGTGTCCTCCCCAAAATGCGGCCAGTGCCGCCTCGCTGGGCGACGCAAATCCGCGATGTCCCATGGAAGCAGGACCCGTCGCTAATCCACCCCCCCTTCATCCATGTTTGCGATCGCGTCGCCTGAGTATCCCCCGCTGACGCCGTCCCTGCGCCTCCTCGTGCCCTGGGGCGAGAGCGGCGCCCGCCCTCGGGCCCCTGGATGCCTGCGGCGCGGAGGCGCGCGCCACGGCGGATCCGTCGGGGGCGCACTGGCCCAGGCCAGCGCAAGCTCGGGCCCGTCGGGCTTCGCAGGATGCTGCAGGACCCTGCGCGCTGGCCTGGGCCAGTGCAACCCTGAGCCTGCAGGATCCTGCGAGATCTGGCGCTCTGGCGAACCTCCGCTTGCCTTGACCCCCGTCTCTCGAGTATGGGGATCGACTGCAGATTTGATTTGCCCCAGACTTGATGTTTCGCCGAATCCACGAGGAATGCGTCGAATGCGACGTAGACCTACGGGACATTCAACGCATTCTTCGTAAATGCGGCGGGTCAATCAATGCTGGGGTGCACCAAGTCTGTTCGGGGATGGACAGAGCCCCCTTTAGTAAAACGTGGTTTAGTGAAAACGACCTGAGGCCCAAACCCGGCGGGCGCAAGCCTGGAAAATAACGGCCACGGCGCCCCCTCGAGAACCGAAAACGGACAATTCACTAATCGACGTGTCACTGCTGGGGGTTCTGTCCACCCCCGATCTGTAGTCGATCCACTGCTCGAGTCTGCAGGCCCCGGACGGAGCGTCCGGCCGCCGTCGGCGGGGCTCGCAGGAGCGGCGGCGCTGCCCCGAGTCGGCCGCATGGCACGTACCCCATCGGGGCTCGGCGCGGCCAGAGCTCCCCCGAGTGAAGTTGAGAATTTCCAGCGGATATCCATCGTACATGTAATCTCCCCCCAAAAACAATTCATTAGTGAATACAAGGTTTTTTGTTTTGATATATAAAAGATAAAAAACTATTGTATATTGGTTGGTTTGAATTGTTACCTCCAGGAGGCCCGACCTCCCCCACCGCGCCGCGCGGTTGTCGCTGGAGCCCGCGCCGAGCCGCAGAGGCGTGGCCGGCCCGGGAGGCCCGAGCCCAGGCTCGGGGCTCCGAGGAGAGGCCCGAGGCTCCGAGGAGGCTCCCGGGCCTCTCTGGGCCTCCTGGGGGACTCTCGCCGCCGCGTCACGGGTGCGCCACGCGGAAGAAGAGAGGGTCCCGGAGAGGCTCGAGGTCCTGAGATTTTTAAATTTCGAAATATAATTATATTATGATTGTTGTTGCTTCGTATCTTTATGAGTGCATACAGGTATATGTATGTGTGTGTGTATGTGTGTGTGTGTGTGTGTCGGATTATGCGTCTGTGTAGAGGTGTAGGTATGTGTATTCACATATGCAGGTGTACACGCACAGGCGTATGTACGTGTATCGGTGTATGCGTGTGTGCATATGTACGCGTGCATGTAAATGTAAGGGGAGGGTGTGTAGACTTTGTATTATCTATACCGATCTATGTGCCTCCCTGGGCTCTTGCCTGCCGCCAGTGCTGTCGACCTATGTAGCTGGGGATGAAGAGCAGGCTCCTTGGGGCAGGGGCCTGGACGGTCCAGGGCTCCAGGGTGTCCAAGCTGCGAGCCACAAGCACGTCGGAGGTCTGTGAAGGGGCCCTGGGACGCACCAATAAATACACACAAATGACCAGATTCCCCAATATTTTCAATATTTTCAGAGTTTTCGTCTCCCCCCCACTTCCCATATTTTCCCATATTTTCTGAGGGGGTCGACGATTACTTGTGTCTGTGTGTTTTTGCCCCTCCTGATGAATGGGGGGACAACAGATCGGCACCTGCACAGGCCCTGGGCTCAGGATTGGCCTGGCCAAGACCAGTGCAGGTCTGAATCTGAAGGTGGCCCCCATTGAAGAGCCCGATGGACGCGAGGACACACTCACGCCAAACGTGAAGCGAGGAGCTCCGCAGACTCACACGTGAAAGAAATCAAGACGCCCAAGCAATTCGGCTACACGCAAGGTTGACCCTAAACCAATCACGGCCTGCCTGCTTGGGCTTGCCGCGCACCAGAGGCCCCTCCGTCAAATTCTACTCCTACGCGTGTTAGCCGGACGGGCATCTCTGAGGAAACCAAGAAGTACCTCTCCTGGGGTGCGTTCTGAGAAGAATTTCGAAGCGAATCCAGCCGTTGCGACGAGGGCCGCCCAGGAGGCCCCCCCCCCAAAAGAAAAAAACGAAGGAAGGGCAGCGATATCGACACCTTTTCCTCCTCTGCATCTCAGGCTTCGCAACCTTCTCGCCAGCCTCCGCCAACCGAAGAGCTCTCGATTAATATTTGCAGGCCTCGAAATGTAGCCGAGCCGAGGCGACGATGACGATGACGATGACGATGACGATGACGATGACGATGATGATGATGATGATGATGATGATGATGATGATGATGATGATGATGATGATGATGATGATGATGAGGATGATGATGACGACGACGACCAAACGACGACGACGACAACGACGACGACAACGACGACGACGGACGACGACGACGACGGACGACGACGACGACGGACGAAGCCTCGACTCCTAGGGATCGGTGATCCCTTCCTGTGCAGCTGCTGCTCAGTGGCGTCGCCTCTTGAGGGACGTGTGCCCTCCTCGCACGGTCCTATCACTGTCTACCTCGCGCTGCCTCTTTCCTCGCTCCTCGTTCCTCCTCTCTCCTTCCTCATTCCTCCTTGCCGCCTCCCCCTCCTTTCCCCCCTCACCCTTCACCCCTATTCCACCACCTCCTCCTCCTCCTTCTCCTTCTCCTCCTCCTCCTCCTCCGATTTTCGCCCTCCGCGAGCGTGACGGGATTCCTCTATCCACGGCAGCGGCGCATGAGGTTCTTCAGTGTGCTGAGAGGGTCTTGGGGTCCGCCCAAGGGCAAGCCCAGGCGCCACTGTCCGAGGCGCTCACTGCCCGATCTGTTGCTCTTGGCCATCAGATGGAGCATGTCGGTCGGGTGCATTTCTGTCTTCTCTGATCGGCACACGCCGCAAGCGCACCCTTCGACTCGGAGCTCCGGGGCTACCCATATAACATCTGCTGCGAGAGGGCTCCTCCCTAGGACGGGTCAGAAGCTCGATCCAGTGTAGCCCCGTGACGAGGGGGAGAAGCCTGTCGGGAGCCGCCCTTGTCGCCTGACCAGGGTAGGCGCTGCAACATTTCGGTTGGCCTCCACCCCAACCTTTCACCAACCAGTGCGTGCTTCATGCCGCGCTGGGCTGGTCTGCCCTTCCCACCTGGGGCAGGTCCTTCGTGCTCATCCCGCGCTTCAGTCACACCTGTTGCGCCAGCTTGTGCGCTCCTCCTGCTCCCCCTCCTCCTCCTCCTCCTCCTCCTCCTCCTCCTCCTCCTCCTCCTCCTCCTCCTCTTCGTCCTCCTGCTCCTCCTCCTCCTCCTCCTCCACCGCCTCCGCTTTCCTTCCTGTTCTCCATGGATCGGAAGACATCGGCGACGACGAGCCGTCCTCCACGCGGTTGCGCCGGTGCCGCAGGGACTCCGAGGGCAGGCCATCGCCCGACTGCGAGAGTGGCCCCGACTTGCTCCTGCGCGCTGGCCGTGCAGGGCTCGCCCCCACCGCCTCCCGTCGTCGTCGTCGCCGTCGTCGTCGCCGTCGCCGTCGCCGTCGCTGTCGTCGTCGTCGTCGCTGTCGTCGTCGTCGTCATCGTCGTCGTCGTCGTCGTCGTCGTCGTTTTGGTCGTGGTCGTCGCCGCCGCCGCCGCCTGCGTAGGAGGAGGGACACGAAGGGCGTGGCGTCCTCCTGGTTCAAGCGTTAGCAGCGAGGGCGGCGTGCCTCGCGTGCAATGTAGGACTGCAGCTGCCTCAGGTGTGGGCTGTGCGGAAGCTCCGCACGGAACCTACGGTCAAAACCGATAGCAGTGATGCGCCATTCGGATGCAAAGGCCTTGGACGCCAAGGCCGAAGCTTTTCGAAGGGCACGGTGGAGGTGAGGGCCACGAGGATCCGTTCGATACCTCGTGGCTCCCTCGGGCGCTGCGAGCTGCGCAACTGTCGCCACTTTTGTGGGCTCCTGGCAGGCACGGCGGAGGTTGAGGATGGACCGGAGATGGCCAGAGAGGCAATGCTGCAAGGGTGCCCTTGGGAAGTCGTGCCGGTGTTGACTGTAGACGCGTGTGGGAAGCAAGGGCACTTGAATGATGAGCACGCTCTGGTGAGATGGGGCCCGTGCTCTGAAGGTGCATCCTGTGCAGAGAGAGAGAGAGAGAGAGAGAGAGAGAGAGGGCCAAACCCCCTCCAAGGAGTGCGCGTACTCAAAGAGAAACGAGACGAGGGCAAGCGGGCAAGACGCGCGAAGAAGGCAACGTTCGTCTCGCTCCCTGCCTGTTGCCGCTACGCCTACCTCAGGATGCACTTTGTACGCTCGACGCTCAGGCCGCCAGCATGGGGCCATACACGGTGAGCGGAGGGATGGAAGTCATGAGCTGCATTCGGAAACGAGGGAAACGCAGGGATGGTGGGAAGGGCGGGGGACGAAGGGCAGAAGGGAGGAAACGACGAGGAGCGGGATGGAGCGTGCCAAGTGTGGGGCACTTGGCTACAATGATGGGCGGTGGGTGCCTCAACGTCATGCGCATCATCCGCCACTCCGAGCGGCAGAACGGCACGATCATCATGTGGAAGCTCCGAGTTGGGGCATACTGTACCAATTCGTCTGCCAGGCCACTGAGAGACGAGCAGCAGCATCGAAATTGGAGGAGGTCCGAGCGGCGAAGGTACAGCGAGTCAAGAACCGTCCAATCGTGCCCGTCGCCAGCCGCAGCATGCAGAAATAAATCAGCATCAGGAAGAGCTTGTTCGGGAAGGTCGGCGTCGGCCGAACAGCGAAGGTACGGAGCACCAGGCAGAGCCCATTCATGCTAATCGCCTTCGGGATCGTCGTCGCACGCATCAACATGCAGAACGTGGGCTGGGCGAGCAGCGGCAGCGGCTCCATGATCAACTTCAGGAGGATCTTGTTCGGGCAGGGCGGCGTCAACCACTTCTTCAACCAAAATATCGTCGCGCAGAGATTCATAACTTACGTCCGAGTCGGAATGGAAAGAGTATTGTGATATTGCCAAAGCTGGAGGTTGAACATGTCGTATAGCAGGCGGCGCCTCGTTTCCACGACCTGAACCCATGCGGCTTCGTGCTGTATGAGCTTCTCTGCCTCCGAGTACGTGGTGTGGTCGGTGATCTGCTCCGAGTTGGTCAGCAGGACGACCAGGCGGCGTTCAGCTTCTGTAGCATCAGCGGCGGCGCCATGCGGGCCAGGAAGGACATGGACACGCGGATGTGCGCCCACGTCGGCAGCATCTTCTGGTACGTGAAGAGGAGCGATGGTGTGGACAACTTCGGCAGGAACCTTGTCCCGATGAGGGTCGGCACGAGCAGCAGCGTCAGAGGGGAACCCCAACAACAAGCTCACGCTCTTCAGGAAACTACAGACCAGCCAGAGGGGCACGATCACCAGTAGGACGACGGTCACCGCCATCAGGTTCACACTCGACAGCACGCACTTCGGCAACGCGAACAGGTTGGACATGCAGTTCATGTGAGCCACCCGCAGCAGCACGTTCTTCAAATTCGCGGTCCGATTGACCAGGCGGCGGAAGAGGACCAGCACCCTGTCTTACAATAAGAGCACGGTCTTCAAATACGCGGACAGCGTGACCGAGCGGCGGAAGAGGACCAGCACCATGCCGCATAGGACTAGGAACGATTCCTCGAGCCTCGGCCGAGGCCCTGAGCCGCGCGAGGAGGCAGGCTGTGGCAGCCAGCCGCGGACTTGCGCGTCTTTGGAGAACTCAGCCCTTCTAATTCCTGAAAAGGCTTGACGCCTTTTCGCCAATCGACTTGTGGGGGTCGAGCCAAGTGAATCCAAGTAAATCAGGATGGATTAAAATAAATCCGCATACGTCGTGGCAAACCCAAGTGAATCCAGAGTTCTCCAGGGACAATTGGAGCAAACCGTGGCCGCTCCAGCGCGAGTCGAGGGACGGCAGAAGTCGTTAAGCCCTGAACGATCGTTCAGAGGGTCTTCTTGCCGCGGGTACCCTCGAGCTCGTCTTGCCGCTGCTCTGTCTCGATGGCGGGCGCCCTGGGGAAAGCATTTCGTGTCTGTTGGCGTGTCCGCCGCCCGCGGGCCAACCTCATTCTCGTCGTGCTGCTGCCAGGCCAGAACCACGATGTCGTGCCAGCGACCGCGCGGACTTGCTTGGCGTCTGCTGCCCTGGCGCGAAGGTGTCCCGTGTTGGCCAGAAGCCGCAAGTTGGAGGCAAAGGGGCAGCCAAGTCGATGCGGGGAACCGCCGTTGCAGCCCCTGCTGCCGCAACCACCTCCGCCTCGCTCTCGCACCAAGCGTTGAAGCTACCCACGATGGCCGCAGCCGCGGCCGGCCACGCCTCGAGTGTGACGGCCTCCAGGAAGCAGATCCGTCGAGCACCGAAGTCGCGCGCCCTCGCAAGGAATCTCGGAATGCTCGCAACATCAGTGCTCGCGAAGGTGCGCAAGGGGGAGCCAGCTCGTCCATGGCCTCCGTCGCCGCTTGTGGGCGCCCGCTCGCGAACCGAAGCCGGTGTCCGCGCCAGCGACGCCGCCAGGCAGAGCGAGGGAGGCCGCCATTCAACCGACTCGGCTACCCGACCCGAGTGCTCCCGAGTGGTGCGACTGGCTGCCCAGCCGTCTCCTGCGCGTCCCAACCAATGAGCCGAACGGCTGACTCGGCGAGCTCAGCTTGCCGCCGCTCGCATCCACCGCCTTCCAAATGCGGCACGACGAGTCGTGCCGCCTTGGCAGAAACAAGCCGCGTGGCTTCCTCCTCCTGGTCCACTCCTGCCACCGTCTTTTCCATGCCCATGCCGGATGGCATCTGCATGGACAGGCTGCCCCTCCGGCCACTCACGCGCGGAAGCGCGGCTGACACTTCCCAGCCCGCCTCCGCCACACAAAGACGACGTTACTCTACCACCGGCTTGCCGCGACGGCCGCGCGCGCCAAGCTGCCATCGCCTGCCGCCCGCTAACACATCAACTCTGATCGGTCTTGCCGCCGTCGAGCTGGAGTGCGACGTCCCCGCCCGTGTACCCAGGCCATTCTTCGCGTCTGAAGGGGCCCTGGGACACACAGATAAATACACACACAAATAAAAAGATCCCCCTATTTTCCCATATTTTCTGGGTTCCTGTCTCCCCCCCACTGCCTGTGTTTTCCCATATTTTCTGGGGGAATCGACGATGAATTGTGTCTGTGTGTTGTTATCCCTCCTGAGTGTCGTGCACCCCTAACCTCTGCCTCCGCTGCGGGCGGTGCGGCGGGCGGCGCCTGGTCGCTCCTGGGCGTGTGCCTCGGCACCAGGGGGTCTTGGCCAGCTCTACAGTCGGGGCGTTGACCCAAGGAACCCCACATAAGGAACGAGGCCCCTTTTTCCCATAAGTTGAACTTCGATTTCCCATGGAAAATCTCAGGAAAACAGAAAGCGAACTGAAGAACAATCAAGGAACACCGAGCCCCTCCCCAACGAAAAGGGTTCCTTCTTCAGGGCCCCGACTGTACCAACAGCGTGGTGGCATCAGGCGTTGCTGCGCTCAACTGGTCATTCATGCTCTTGTGCGACCTGTAGCTTTGCATCGAACGCGTCCTGTAAAGGAGACGCTCTCAGGGGAATGCACGAGCACCTTGCTCGTCACAATCGGGCGAATCTTTCCGGTGATAACTTCCTGCACGCCCCCATCCACCCTCTCGCGGCCACAGTGGCAGCCGTCCAGAGTCTGGCGACAGGCTGCGAGGCAGCCCACTGCTGCTGAGAGCCTACCCGACGCCTGACTAGTGCAATGCCGTCGGAGTCCTCGGTATTAACTGGATGTACACGTTGCTCTGGGCCGATGGCTCTGGCTCGGCTGCCATAATCGGGCCATGCGCTGTCTTCCAGCACAACGCAATTATTGCCTTCGGCAGACGTCGAGGCTGCGTGTTGGCAACGCGCAGCAAGATAGCTACTGTCAGGCGGTGTACCTCTTGATCCCGAGGCCAACTCTACTCGACAATGAACCGTTCGACCTCACCAGCAGTGACATCGTCGTCGTGCATCTTCCTTTCGTCTTGATGCTCCTACTTCTCCACCTCCTGCTCCTTTCCCTGCAGCTGCTGCAGCACTCTTCCTACACCTGCTTCTCCTTCTCCTCCTCCCCCTCCTCCTCCTCGGCGTAGGATGACAGAATAAGAAGAGGGGTCTGTTTAAAACGCCGTTCACGTTACGATGACGAGTGGCTAGAGCTAAGATGGCTACGGATGGCCGAAGAAGCGAAAGAGGAGGGGGGGCAGGAGGGGGAGGCGCAGCAACAGCAGGAGCAATATACACAACCGCAGCACAACACCAACAGCAGCAGCGGCGGCAGCCGCAACAACGTCAGCAGCAGGAGCAGGAATGCATTCGGGAGTACCTGAGAGCAATCACGTTGCGCATCGCTGCGATGCAAGGCACATTTAGCAGGAAATAACCCACTCTCTTCCGAATTCTAAGCGTACATTTCTGCACTGCAAGCAGAATCCGCCCTCATTCCTGTGGCCGCTTTTTCGTCGCGGGCTGTTTCTTGATGGCCCTGGGGCCCGCAAGTGGCCGACAGACGCCGCAACTGGAGAAACAACATCCCCGCTCTGATGTTTCTCAAACCGCTGGAGGCCTACGCAGAGGCGTGCAACGCTGAGCGCTCAGCGCTCAGCTCGGCGGTGAGCCTGGGGGTCAGTGCAGAGGGGGCGGGCCTTCTCAGAAGGCTCGGAAGGCCTCGGGCCTTCCGAGAAGTCTTCCAAGCCTTCCCCGAATCCGCAGAACACTTCTCAGAAGGCGCGAAGGCTTCCGAGAGGCCCCGCCGCCTCCTACAGTGCGGGCGCGGCCGCAAGACACCCTCGCAAGAGACCCAACCCCGAAAAAATCCGCGCGCGAGGTGCGCCTGAGGGGAAACCCGGAGCACCCTGAACGCAGCAGCTTCCTCACCTGGCCGCAGGAAGCCACCGCGCAGCGCGCGCGGAGCGAAGAAGCCCAGGCTACAGTCGGGGCGTTGACCTAAGGAACCCTCAATAAGAAACGATGCCCCTATTTCCATAAGTTAAACTTTGATTTCCCATCGAAAACATAAGGAACACCTGAGGCAAGCTGCGAAACAATGAAGGAACACAGAGCCCCTCCCCAACGGAAAGGGTTCCTTCTTCAGCGACCCGACTGCACCCTTGAGCAAAGCACATGGTTTCTTGACGCGCGCCCCCGCTGCACGAAGGCCTGGCCCCTCTCGCTTCCCTCCTGGGCTCGCCGCCGAGCAGCCGCCGCCGCCCAGGGAGGCGGCGCCGCCGCGGCGGGCAGGCGCGCGGGGCCCGCGCTCGAGCGAGGACCTGCGTCGTACCGTGGCGTGGCGCAGAAGTGCCCAGCGCTCGCGCATCGCGGCAGCCGTGAGCTCAGGTGCTGGCGGCGCGCACAGCCAGCCATCGCTCGGACGTCCATTCCCCGTGCTTTTTTCGGTTTCTTGCGTGGTTGTTTGGCCAGACGGTCCAGGATGCTGCTCCTCGAGGATCCTCGCCGGAGAACAGAAATGCACACGTCCGAGCGATGCCAGGACAACGGGGCGGGGGGAGGGGGGAGGGCTTCTCAGAAGGAGGCCGCTTCTCAGAGGGCGCGGGCCGGAGCAGAGGTGCTTCTACGAGGCCCTCCCCCTGCCCCCCCCCCCCCCCCCTTCTGCGCGTGGCTGACAAAGGCACGCAGGCGGCGCCCGGCAGAGGGCCCTCCGAGGGCCTCCGGGGCGAAGGCCTCCGAGGGCCTCCGCGAGAAAAGGATGCGCAAGTGCTGTAGATATATTTTGCTTCTGCTCTGGTGGGAGGCGCCTGGAGGCCCGTGGGCGGCCTCGGAGCCACGGAAACGCAGCCGCGCGCCCCAAGCCCCGTGGAGCCTGGCGCGGGCCCGACGCGAAGGGGGGTGGACGACGACGACGGCGGCGGCGACTCGCAAAAGAACTGCTCGCACATGGCCTGCATCCGCCATGGGGGTTCACTAGATGTAGTACGTCGATGCAGACATGGTGTTTTTTTTCGGATGCTTGCGAGTAGGCGCTTTGCGAGCAGTGCATGCGGGACGGGAAAATGACCACAGCCACTGCTTCTTGTTTGCGCCGCCGTCCAGCCGGCCGAAAAAGAAGCAGTGGTTGTGGTCATTTCCCCAGTGCCAAGCTCAACGAAAATGACCACAACCACTGCTTTGTTTCTGCGGGCTGGAAGGCGGCAACAAAAGAAAAGCAGTGACTGTGGTCGTTTTCACGCCCCGTAATGGGACGCGCTCGGTGAGCACTGGCGACGACGGACGGCAGAGGCCGACGACCGACGCACGGCTCTCTGCCAGAGCGCCTCTCTGACCCGGACTTCGGCGCGGGTCTGGCCATGCCGACGGGGGCGCCTCCGGAGGCCAGACCAGGTTCGGAAAGGCCCAAAGACCTCAGACCTCGATCCCGACGACGACGCCGACAACGACGACCGACGACGTTACAGTCGGGGTGTTGACCTAAGGAACCCTAAACAAGGAACGAGCCCCCTCTTCCCCACAAGCTCAACTTCGATTTCCCATGGAAAACCAGAGGAAACCCTGAGGCAAGCTGTGAAACAGTCAGGGAACACGGAGCCCCTCCCCAACGAAAAGGATTCCTTCTTCAGCGCCCCGACTGTAACGTTTGCGACGAAGACCGTGACGACGAAGAAGCAGGCGTTGACGGCGGTGGCGGCGGCAAGGGTCCTCAGCAACTTGCTGGTCGCCACGAAGGGGTGGTCGAGGCATTCCGCCAGGGTTCGTCTCCTCGTCGGGCCAAGGAGGCACTCGTCGTCGTCGTCGTCGTCGTCGTCGTCGTCGTCGTCGTCGTCGTCGTCGTCGTCAATGCGAGTTTCCCGACGTTTTCGGACGTCTGAGGCGGTCCGCGGCGAATTTCCTACTTCTTCCTCCTCCCTCCACGCTCCTCGCACATTCTTCCTGTCTCTCGCATGCAACCCCCGCACACATTACGGCACACCCCTCACAACTTTCGTGGCCTCATAGGGGTTCCGAAGGGCCCACTGGCGTTTCTCGCACGAGTCCCCCGCAACAGTTTCGGCACACCCCTCACACGGTTCGTGACCCCATAGGGAGCGCCACCGAAGACGATACTCACAACCACGGTACTCACAACTGCATATGGTTGGGTCCTTCGCCACGACAGTTTTCACGACGTGGACCCCCCCGAGGTCTCGACCTGCTCCCCGGGAGCGGCGCTTCATCCCGAGTCGTTTCGGCGATGGGCCCCCGAAAGCGAATCCGCACGTTCCTGGGCGGGGTGGGTTATCGGGCCCCTGACGGCGATCAATGGGCGACTGGGAGTCGATGCGTTTCCCTTTGAGCCTGTGGTCCGGAGCTTTTGCTTCGCGTGTCGCGGCGACGGCCCTGGCGATACGCTGCGCCTTATAAGCGGGTAGCGTGCCGCTCGGCTCCGCACTGCATGAGGCGTGGGGGAAACTCGTAACTTTGATGCCTGGGTGCGGGGACGTGGTTCGCGTGTCGCGCCGAAGCGTGGTGGGCCAGAGCTGGCCGCGCGACTTGCCGACTCAAGCGCGCACCAACATGGCCTAGAGATCCGCGGATCCGGCGCGCGGGCGCGGGTGAGGCCAGTGCCGCCCGGCTTGGCGACGCATCGCGCCGAATCAGCATGGAAGCGGAACCCAGTTCATCCACGCGCCTGAATCCATGTTTTCGCTTCCTCGACTAAGCCGGACCTCTTGACCGTATCCCCTAACGGTGCCACTGGACCTCGTGACCTCTTGCGGCTCGGTGGAGCTCGAGGCGCCCGGCGGGAAGGGGGTAGAGGTTTCCTAAACGGGGTCCGAGTGGATGGGGTCGGAAGATCGCGCCGCATCCCCGATGCATCGCCGATGCATCGGCGATGCATCGCCGACGTCGGCGATGCATCCGCGACGTCGGCGTGGGGAAAACCGGGCTCTACATCGAACCGCATCGCGGATTCATCGCGGTGCGGCGCGATCCTCCGACCCCATCTACTCGGACCCGGTTTGGGGAACCTTGCGCGGTCAGGAACTTTTGGATGGCGTGTCGCCGTGGCGGCCCTGGCGACACGCTATGCCTTGGAAGTGGGTAGAAGTCGTTCTCTTATTCATGGGCGTAATGCGTGTTACCCGGGGGGTGGGGGTGGGCGGGGGGTGGGGAACGGTACCCTGCGCGGGCGATAATTACACTCAAGAGTAATCAAGTTCGGGGGTCAGCCGGGGATAATCAACGATTTTCCCGGGGAAGTAGTTCGAATTTATGATGATGATGATGATCATGATGATGGTGATCCTGGGCGCTCGGCACAAGACTGACTCGAGAGATCTCGATGCTCGTGGCTACAACTTGCCAGCGCACGAGAGGTCCTTGGCCGTTCTGGCCAAGAAACCTCTCTTGCGATGGACTTCGAACCGCTCGCCCTTGCAGGCGCAGCACCCTTTGGAGCCGCCCTTGCAGGGGAGGCACTTGGTGCACGCTTGGGCGGCAGCGCTTGCTCCTCGAAGGTGGCGTACTTCGGCTCGGCCGCCGTGGGGTCCTTGCAAGGCCCTGCCGCACGTTCTTGACTTGGGCAAACTGAAATGGTGAGAATCCCACAGCCCTGCCACACGCTCGTGATTGCGGAAGCTGATATGGCGAGACCACCATGGCCACGCTCAGCGTTTTTGATGCTGTTGCTAGTCAACACGAGATGATAGCAACTTCGAATCACAACTTCCCCCGTGGATTATCAAGTTCGGCCTCCGCGCCCATCTCCACAAGCAAATCCTATTGAACGGGGATAATGACATAGAGGGGGTGAAGGGGGGGGTACTTTATTATCGCCCGCACACGGTTGACGGCGGCCCCATCTACAGTGGAGGCTAGTCCACAAGGAACCTTCCACAAGAAACCCAACCCTGAGACCGTAGGACTTCCATTGATTTCTGGTGTGGGAACGTCACGCTTCCCATCGCAAAGCCATCGACACCGAAGAAACCCAGGGCACCCTGGAGGCAAGCAGGGTGTTTTTTGGCATGGGTCTCCACTGTACTCCGCCCCCATCTGGGAGGCCCAGAGGGGGGCAGCCCCGGCCTGCGAGCGGAAGAACACGCCGCCGCCCACCGCGGTGGAGGGGCGCGGCCGTGGGCCTTTTCGGGCACGCGCCTCGCCGCCGCCTCCTCAGGCCTTCTGGATGCCTTTTCCTGGCGACGACTCGAGCCTACGAATGTGCGACTTCGGTGCGGACTGGAACTACCAGCCCAGCTCCATTTCCAAGGGATCTCTATCACCTCCTCCTCCTCCTCCTCTGGTTCCTCCTCCTCCTCTTCCTCCTCTTCCTCCTCCTCCTCCTCCTCCCTCCCCCCCTCCTCCCTCCTTCCTCCTCCTCCTCCTCCTCCTCCTCCTCCCGTTCCTCCTCCTCCTCCTCCTCCTTCTCCTCCCCCTCCTCCTCCTCCTCTTCGCCTGCTGCCTCCACGTGCTCCTCCCCCCTCTGGCCGCTCGGGCGCAACAGTGCCGAGAGGCGCACCAGGGAAGGTGCTCGAATGCTTGACCCAGCTGCGGCTATCGGTTAGATGATGTCTACGTTCTGCCCCTGTGGCCAACAAGAGGAACAAGGAACAAACATGCCCCCACCCCTCTCTGTGGTCGATGACCGCTGGCTGAGCAGATGCCAGACAACCTCCTCCAGAAATGGTCAACATGACGACATAAAACAACAACTCTCGGACGTCCGTACGGACCTCCGCCCCTGGCGCGCTCCGTGCGTCAGGGTGGGAGGGCAGCGCCGATCCAAGAGATCCGAGCGAACCTTCGAAGGGTGAACTATGTTTATGCCATCGTTTCCTCTTCGAGGCTCATGCCCCCCACCCTCCTCTTGGGATCGCAGACCAACAGGCTCTCGTCCAACAACCGCGTGAGCTCGGCGTCGTGCTCCTTGACCTGCCGTGGCAGCGGCGCCTTCTGCAAGCTGCTGAGCCTCGGTGGGTGGTCTGCCGCCGCCGTCGGTGCCGTCACAACCGCGGAGGTGTCCGCGAGGGAACGACGGCCACGGCCGCGGCGACGGCGGCGGCGGCGGTGACGACAGCGACGACGGCGATGGAGACGGCGCCGGCCGTCGGATCCTAGGATTCTAAGGCTGGCCACGCGCGCGCGCCCAGGGGGGGGTACGAACGACCTGCGACGGCGAAGAGGAGGATTGACACACGGCGGGCTGCAGCGGGGGATGCTCAAGTAGAGGTAACATCTGTTCCCCCTCTACATCCTCAAACCTTGGCCTAAATGCCTGAACAACACTTTGAGGGCACCCGAAGAAGACGAGACTCAGGGTAGCCGTGATCTGGGCACGGGGTTGCTGTCTTATGCATTCCTGGAGAAAGGCATCAATTTTCAATCCGAATCTCGAGCGATCGATCCTTGAGAGCCGCCTTTAATGCTCTACGACCTACGAGCATACCGTCGCATACCATCTGGGGTTATGGTAGACGCCGTTTGCGCACTTGGCGAAAGGACCAATGCGCAAGGCCCAGACAAGGCAGGCTGCAGTGCCACAGGGGGGAACCGCCCTGTCGGTGGCCCTTGGTCCCCATACATGTGCTTGGGCACGTACAGTGTACAGGTGGAAGGTCTCCAGGCTCATGCAAAACGAGTTGCGTCATTCAAACAAGATCAGTGGCGTCACTATGAATTGCTACTAAGTGCTCCTGATGGCATGGGGCAACACGTGATCAGACAACATGCTGGACAAGTATGTCAGGAACCAATGGCCACAGTTGTGTTTTTGAACATGTCGACCGCACTTGTTGAATGTCAACTGTTGTTAGCCCGTGACGTCGCAATCGGCGTCAAGGGTGCGTTTGGTTTTCTGAATGGTGAGGATGTCCCATGCGAAGCAGCATGTCAATTCCGCTCGTCCACGCCCATGGTTGCCTCTGAGCTCTACACCCTCGAAGCAATTCTTATAATAACACACGCACTTTTACACACACACGCTACACATGTTTATATGCATGGCTGTGTTTATGTGCATCTCCATCTATATATATATATACAAACATACATGCGCGTACGCATCCGATGTGTGTGCACATCTACTCACCTTCTCCACGACAAGAGCCATCACCGGATGGCTTCACGGCGTGATCAAAAATACCACCAGGCAAGCCAGAACTGTCACACGAGACTACGGCAAGAGCGCACGCGCAGGGACGACAGCGGACGGCAAGCAGGTGGCAGCAGAGAAACATAAGAAACATGAATGAGCAAAACGAAGGAGCGAGTACATTACACAATATACCGGTGCGCAATATCTATGTAGTTATAGGTATACGTCGATACATGAAGACATAGCTATGTGCACAACTATGTATGTACGTCTGCCAGTCTGTCTGTCTGTATGCACGCATGCATGTATGTACGTATGTATATATAGCATGCGCATACGTATACACACATGCACGTACGCCGTTGTCTATGTTTTAGATGCACAGGTCGTGCCAGATCCGTTTACCCCGCCTTGAAGCAGGCGTGATGTTTTCCTGCTCCTCAACATCAGATGCATCCTTTTTCCAGTGCGAGCTGTTTACCCCATTCTTCCGGGGAGTTAACATCATGTGGCTGGCGGCTGGATGCGCGATCCTTGCGCCCTCAAGATAAATTCGCCACCGTGCCTGCACGGAATGGCCACATTAACATGCTTGTCTTTTTTTGGGTGGAGTGGGGGGCTTTCTGGGGTCGACCCCCCCCCCCCAAGGACGGCACCCGTGCCTCTGAGATCGCCTCGACGCTCTGAGCCTCCAGACGGCCAAGATGGCTTGTAAGACGGCTTCCAAGGTAGCCGAGATGACACCAAAACGGCCCAAGATAGCCCAGGAGGCTCCCAATACGGCCTCAAGGCAGGCCGAGAGGCTCCCAAGCCGGCCCGAAGAGGCCCTGCTGGATGTCCTTCGGCATTTGAGAATTCTCAGGTTCTCGCCTGTTTGAGCTTCCAGCTGCCCAAGGCGGCCCGAGAGGCATCCAAGATAGCACCCCAGACAACCCACGAGGCTCCCCCGAGGGTCCCAAGTCGGCCCAAGAGGACCCACAGACCGCCCAAGGGGGGCCCTCCCCAAATCAGACCAATCGCTGAATTGTAGCGGGGCGTGAACTCGACAATCTTCCCAACGCGCGGGCGAAGACGAGGTCGAGTTCAAGACCCGTCCCAATTCAGACCATTCATCGGGATCGCGCTGTTCCTACACTCAGCCTCATTCCTGCTGCGCTGTTGCGCAAGCACGGTGGCGGGGTTTGCCGCAGGCGGCTGGATACTAAGTGTGGGTTTTTGTTTTGGGAGATGTGTGGCTGATGTGCGAGTCAGCAGAACATCTGCCACCGCAAACCTCGTGCCCGGGCCTCGCCAACATGGTAGGGGTACTTTGTTTCTTGTCTTTGATGGAACGAGCCTGCATTCCCTGAGCTGGTCACCACAATCCACAAGAGAGAGAGCGTGAAACAGAACGAGGAGGAGGAGGAGGAGGAGGACGGAATGAGGACATGCTGAGCCCGTAAAGTGGGGTCAAACGATGAGTTCACCCAGAGGCGCACCGAAGAGCCCTCCAAGAACTGCAACGCGCAATGATCATGTCACGAATTGCGGCCTCCATACCGGCAGCAGACTAGCATCGTGGCCGCCACGGGCTCGGCAACGGGAGAGGGACACTTAAAACAAATCCGCCATGGTTTTAGGGGAACAAAAAGTGGCATAAACATAAAAACTCGGAGGTCCGCGCAGATTTCTCGGATCGGCGCTGGACTGGCGCGCGGAGCGCGCCAGGGGCGGCGCCGGAGGCGCCGCCGGGGGGACCCAGCGCCGATCCGAGAAATCCGCGCGGACATCAGAGTTTTATGTTTATGCCATTATTTGTCCCCCTAGGTTTGCCACAGGACATGTTGAGCAAGGCCGAACAAACGAAGCGTTCATACCTTCAACGGAATCCCCTCTCGGAGCTCTGAGGCTCACTCTCCCCCTCGCCTAGCAAACACACTCGGACTATCATTCCGCGCCTGCTCCTGCTGCTGCTCCTCCTCCCCCTCCTGTTCCTCTGCCTCCTTCTCCTCCTCCTCCTCCTCCTCATCATCATCATCCTCGCGTTCTGGATGCCTGTTCCTGGCGACGACTCGAGCCTACGAATGTGCGACTTCGGTGCCGACTGGAACTACCAGCCCAGCTCCATTTCGAAGGGATCTCTATATCTCCTCCTCCTCCTCCTCCTCCTCCGCCTCCTCCTCCTGCTCATCCTCGTGTTCTGGCCGGTAGCCGGTGAACCAATCGAAAAACAAGAAGCTCGCCTCCTCGCGCTCGCGCCCGTGCCGGAAGAAGCTTGCGTATTGTGGTTTCAACACCTGGGAGGCTCGGATCTTTCTCGTGCGCCGGGTTCTCTGCAGGAGGAGAGGGGGAAGAGAAAAGGTATTAGAAAGGGGGGAGGAGGAGGAACACAATGTGGGGCAGATGAGGCGGGAAAACGGAGAAGGGACAGGGCAGAGGAATGATGCTTGGAAGGGGCAGGAAGGGAAAGAAAGACAGGGCAGGAGTAGTAGGAGGGGGCATGGGGGAAGCGCTGACGAGCCCGGCGCGCACCTCTCCCCCACCCCTGCTCGCTCTTCCTTCCCTCGGCATGCCCGCGGGCACTCCCGCGGGGTCCGAACGCGCGCCACGCGGGGCGCTGGGAGCCAGGCTGCCGCCTGGCCCCCCCTCAGACGAGACGGGGTCGCCCTGGCTCTCGCTCAGAACTTTGGCGCGCGGTCGGGACCTTTGTTGCCAGCCTGGAACATGTCCCTATCCCTATGCTGGGCACCTCCTCACCACGATGCCAATCTGAGGGATCCCCTGATTTTTTCGAGGGCGAACCCCTAAGATTGTCGTCGCCTCTTGGCGTGCCAATCTTAGGGGTAGGGATGCGTGCGAGGCTGGTAACTTTGGCCCGGCGTGCGTGCCGCTCGGCCAGTGGTGGCCCACCGCGCTTCGGCGCCACACGCGCCATCCGTGCCCCCGGTCCCGCGGCGTCCACGCCCCGAGCTGGCCCCGGCCTCCGCCCACCAGAAGCGCGGAGCGACACGCAGTGGGCATCGTTCTCGTACTACTCCGCGGGGGGTAACGCGTGTTACCCCCCCAGACTACAGTCGGGGCGTTGACCTGAGGAACCCTGAATGAGGAACGAGGCCCCTTTTTTACCATAAGCTGAACTTCGATTCCCCATCGAAAACGTAAGGAACACCTGAGGCAAGCTATGAAACAATTAGGGAAGACGGAGCCCCTCCCCAACGAAAAGGGTTCCTTCTTCAGGGACCCGACTGTACCCCCCGTCACGGCAACGCTTGCAAGCCGGGCACAAGCGTGAAGCCCTGCAGTTTCCGAAGGACATTGTGACCAGGACACAAGCGCCCCAGCGCGCGCAGGCATCGACGCGCACGCAGGCCCAGTGCACAGCGGTGTACACGGGCGCTGTGGTGCACGCAGTGCCGGCGCGCTCGAGCTCGATCTTGTTCCTCCTCCTCCTCCTCCTCCTCCTCCACCCGAGACGACTGAGAGCGAGGTGGCCAGGTGTAGGCGGTGACCCCGTCGGGCGCGGCCCGAGACCCAGAGCCACATGTGGCCCTTCCCGCGGCGCCCTGCCTGTGCCGCCACTCCCCCCCCCTGCCCCCCACGGGCGGCGCGAGCGACACGGCCAGCCCTGCTGGCCGCGCGCGGGCCGGCTGGAGGCGGGCCCACGGGCCCGAGGCGGTGAGGCCTGTTGGGATGCCGAGGTCACCACGTGGTGCGTCACCACGCGCTCCTGGGGCCCCCGATGGGGTCCCTGCCTCGGCGCCCTGACTGTGCCGCGCAGCCCCCGGGAGAGCAGGGCGAGCGGCCCCGCGCCCTGCTGGCCGCTCGCGGGCGGCCGAAAGGCTCTTTTTGCACCCCCCTCCTCATCGTCACACGCTCCTCCCTCCTCCAACTCCTCTTCCGCATTCTTCTCGTCCACGTCCTCGTCCTCGTCCTCGTCGTCCTCCTCTCCTCCTCGCGCACCTTGCCTCTTCCCTTGTCCTCTCCTCTCCTCCTCCCCTCTCGTCGACATCCTCCTGCTCCTCCCCTTCCTCCTCTTCCTCCATCCCCCCAGCTTCTGTAACTCCTCCTCCTCCTCCTCCTCCTCCTCCCCTCCTCCTCCTCCTCCTCCTCCTTCTCCCCCTCCTCCTCCTCCTCCTGCTCCTCCTCCTCTTCCTCCTTCTCAGGAGCACGCGCAGCGCCGACCCCTCGGCATACTAGACCCACCTCGTCCTGCTTCCTTTCCCCTCCCCCATCCACATCGCACTCCCCCTCCCCCGCAGTGTCTTCCTCCCCTCCAGCCCCTCATCCTTGCGTCCGTCCTGTTTGTAGTTTCTTGGTGAACATGTATCCTGGGGACTTCTCCTCCGCCTTCTCGTTTTCCCCTCCTCCTCCTCCTCCTCCTCCTCCTCCTCCTCCTCCTCCTTCCTCCTCTCCTCCTCCTCTCCTCCTCCTGTCCTTCTCTTCCTCCTCCTCTGATTCTGTTATCCCCTCGCCATCCTCGTCGTCCTCCTCTTCCTCCTCCACCTCCTCCTCCTTCTCTTGCTCGTCCTCCTCGATTTCTCCTCCCCCACGTTGTCTCCTCCTGCCCCTCCTCATCATGTTCCTCCTCCTGCATCTCTTCCTTCTCATGCTGCTGCTCCTCCTCATTCTCTCCTCTGCTGCTCCCCGTCCCGTTCCTGCTGCTGCTGCTCCTGCTGCCTCTTCTCCCCCCGTTCTCGTCGTGATCTCCTTCTGCTGCTCCTCCTGGCACTCGTCTTGTGGAATCCCCCTCTTGCGGGAGACCTCCTCCCCCTCCTTCTCTTCCTCTGCCTCCTTCTCCTTCGCCTCCTTTCCTTCCTTCTCATCTCCTTCTCTTCCTCCACCACCTTAACTTCTGCTCCTTCCTCCTCCTCCTCTCCACTCGTCCTCCCGCTGCTGCTGCTGCTGCTGCTGCTGCTGATCCTTCTCCTACTCGAGCTCCTCCTCCTCCTCCTCCGTTTCATCCTCCTCTCCCCTCCCCCTCTCCGCCCTCCCATCCTCCCTGCCTCCTCCTCCCTCGTCCTCGTGCTCGTCGCCCTCTTCCTCCAGCTCTCCCCCCTCCTCGAACTTTACGCCCGTGAGGGGAAGATGGGGATCAGGAGGAGGCAGGGCAGATCGACGAGCCCGGCGAGGCATCGGCACCGGGTCGAGGGTGACGAGCTCCATCAGCGTCATGCCGATGCTCCACACGTCCAGGGCGGGCGACGCGGTGAGGCCCTGCTCCTCCTCTGCGCGGGGAGTCTGCAACGGAGAAGTCGGTCGACGTGCTCACAGAAAGATGAATCAGTGGGAAGGAGCACCGCATGTGCGCTTCAGTTTTGCCTGCTCGGTTTCCGGGACCAGCTTGTATGTTTTCCAAACTTACGTTGTGCAGCCACCCTCATCCTCGTCCTCCTCGATCAGGAAGTTCGCCCACTCAGGCGCGCAATACACTGGGGAAAAGGAAAGGGACTCGTCATCGATCGAGATGGTGGTGCCGATTTTTATGCAGCCATCCACGTCGATCAGCTTGAGGACGCCATCGAAAATCATAAGGTTCTCTGGCTTCAGGTCCATGTGCACCTTGACGGTAATCTGAGGCAAAGCAAAGCATCCGCCACTGCTCTCTGCGCATCAGCTATGACCTCACCTCCACCCTCACCCTCCTGACAAACGTGGCACACAGCAGACACTAGGAATATGAAGGCCTTCGGATAGCCATGACGCGCAGAGGCTGTAACTATTAAACGGTGTCTTACCAGAGCATTCCCCCGCTGACCCCTTTGATGCCTCTCTCTTTCTCTCTTGTTTCACTCCCTTCTTCCCTTTCTCCATCTGTCTCGTGAGACTCCCTCTATCTCTGTTTCATTCCTTCTCTCTCCCTCTCGCTCTCTCGTTCTCCCTTCTCCTCGTCCTTCTGCTCATGCTCGTCCTCCTTCTCCTCCCTTACGGCTCCTCGCTTGAAGTCGTTTCCTCCGGCTCATCCTGTTCGTCGTCATCGTTGTTCTCGTTCTCGTCGTAATATTCCTCCTCCTCCTCCTCCTCCTCCTCCTCTTTTCCTGATCGTTACGCGATCAGAAGCAGATTCTGCAGAGTCTCCTCCTCTTTTACTCCTCGTCGTCGTCGTCCTCGTCCTCCTCAGACGATGACGACGATGCACCAGGCCCTTTGCATGCAGGCCAGCCGTCACCAAGATGATGGACCTCACGAGGGTTTTCACCGTCTCCTTGGACATGGGCCTGTCCTCCTCGCCGGGAAGGGAGGGCGAGGAAGAGTACGAGCAGGAAGCAACACTGGAAAACGGGAGGCCCCATGGCAGAGGAAAGGGCAGCGGACAAAACGAGCGGCCCGCTATCCTCCCCAGGCCTCGAAGCGAAAGGATCGGGACCACTCGTGGCTCCCACCCCTTCTGCTCCTGGGAGGAACTCCTTTGTTGCCCAGCGGACGGCATCGGTCACGTCGTAGGAGGGGCGCCCCGCGCCCCGCAACCGCAGCGGCCGCCCTGCCCCGCTCCCGGCCTCGCCGCGGGCCCGGCGGGCCCCCGCACGTCTCCGCGAGTCTCATCAGGCCACTGCGCTCCGCAGGGGGGCGGGGAAGCGGCGGAGGGGATGGCAGGGAGGGGGGGAGGCGGGCAGAGAGGAGGGTTGGAAGGCTGAGGGCACGGAAGCCCGATCTGAGGTCCGGCTGTGCCGCACAGGGCGGGCCCGGGCTCCGCGGGGCCAGAAAGGAAAAACAGCGGGGCCCTGTGGGTCAGCCAGTGGCACCACGGTTCTGCCCGCTGGCCCGACTGGGCCGAAGGTGGAGCCCCAGCTTTTCAAGGCGAGTCCAACCGTGGCGAGGGGGGAGAGGGCAAGAGGGGAAAGGGAGGTGATGAAGGGAGGACGGGAGGCGAGGGGAGACAAGGTCAGGGGGCCGGCGAGGGGGAAGGAGGTGAACGGCAGGACCCTGCTCGCTCCCTCCATGGCCACGGCTGCAGCATGCGCGCAAAGAACGCGGGCGGGGGCACGCCGAGCCGTCGCTGGGGCCGGCGCAGAAGCCGGCCTCCAGAAAGGCAGGCGATGGGAGTCGATGGTGATGATCATGCTGATGGTGATAACGATGACGATGACGATGACGATGATGACGATGCTACTGATGATGATAATGATGATGATGCTGACTATCATTGTGATCATGCTGACGATGGCGATGACGACGATGATGATGCTGATGCTGATGATGATGTTCATGATGATGCTGATGATGATGCTGATGATGATGACGATGACGATGACAATGACGATGCTGTTGACGATGACGACGATGATGATGGTTGTGAGGATGATGCTGATGATGGTGCTGATCACAATGATGATGCTGAGGATAATGATGAAGAACATTCTGATGCTGATGATGACGGTGATGATGCTGATGGTGATATTGCTGCTGATGATGGTGATGGTGATGTTGATTCCGATGGTGATGATGAGGAGGAGGGAGATGAAGCTAGCACGCATGTTTGTTATTTTCAAGATGCCAACTCTGATGATGGTATGCTTATGAAACTGGTGCTGGTAGTGATGATGATTATGCTGCTGCTGCTGCTGATGATGACGATGATGATGATGATGATGATGATGATGATGATGATGCTGATGCTGATGATGATGATGATGATGATGATGATGATGAGAGGGGAAGCAGGACGAGGAGGGGAGGGAGGATGAGGAGGAGGAAGAAGAGGATGCCTGCTCGCCTGCGACGCTGGCAACTCACTTGTTAAGGATGATGCCGTCGAATTTGGTCTGGAACCACTTCATCCCGTCATCCTTCTTCAACCGATGCGCGAAACCCACCTTGCCACGCTTCAACTTCCTGAACATCACCCGATTGCCAGGGCGCGAGAGGTGCACGTAGAAATCCATGCCGTAGATGCCCGTGCTCGGATCGTACTTGATGCCTAGGTCGATGTGCTCCGTGATGCCGAAGCCGAAGCTGCCGTTCTTCGCGAAATTTCTCTTCACCAACTCGTACTCCTTGACCTTGAGGCCCTTCTCCAGGATTTCCTCGCGGGGACACGCAATACACCGATGACTCCATTCTGGAGCCCTCCCTGCGAACGCTCTGACCAGGACTCCGAGGCGGATCCACCTGCATCGACGAGGGATCTCCAGGACGCCCCGACGGGGGAAAACGGGGATGGGGAAGGCAGCGGCGGCATCGGTATGCTCCTCTCTCGGGCCGGGCGAAAGGGGGGGATAGCAAAGGGGGGGTTTGAGAATCAGCTCACGTAGCTGATTTTCCCGGCGCCTCCCGGCGCCGGGAGGCGCCCATGTATCGAGGAATGGGCCCCTCGGTGGGGCCGAAACCAGCTGCATGCAGCAGATTTCGCAACCCCCCCTTTCCCAATCCCCCCCTTTCGCCCGGCCCGACTCTCCCCCGACTCCTCCGCCTTCTCGCCCCGAACGGTCACGTGGCACGCGATCTTCTCGTTGCGCCTCACCCCGAAGGACCGGATGGTCATGCGGCACTTGGAGAACACTGGCTGCTGCTCCGTCAGCTGCTCCAGGACCTTGGCCGCGCGCGTGAGTCTGTCGCCGCTCTCCCCGACGCTGATGTTGAGGGTCAGCTTCTCCACCTCTCGGCGGCGAGCCCAGGGGGGGGGGTAGAGGGTAGAACATCCACGGCGATAATGCGGGATGACGATTAATAAAAAATGGGAGAGAACTATTAAAAACAAGTTTTCTGCTATTTCTGCACAATTCTCTGACTGGAGGAGAACGATGAAAAAAACATAATTTTCCAACCCGCGGCCGGTTTTTTCTAATCGTCATCCCGGGCGCCGCCGCGTGAACACGACCCCCGGTCATTTGTTAATTGTCACCCTCCATTAATAACCACCCCGACACGCGAAGCCGTTTGGGAAACGCATCTACAGGAGGAATCAAACGAGGCAAGGCTGTTTAGTAAACGCCCAGGGCCGTCTAATAACCGCCGATTGTCCGGTCCGGGTGCTTTTTCCTCCCTTGAGGGGGGAGCGAGAGGGGGCAGGCCGTCTCGCGGCGGCGAGCGAGGGGGGGAGGTGAGGAGGAGAAGGCCCCCTCAGAAGTCGGCGGGGCTTCTCAGAGGCCCATCGCGCCCTCCGAGAAGTCTTTTCTGTGCCTTCGGGGCAGGCCGAGACAACTCCGCAGACGGCCGGGAGACTTCCGAGCCTTCTGAGAGGGCCCGCCCCTCGCCATCGCTCGGACGTCCATTCCGTGTGCTTTGTTCGGTTTCGTGCGTGGATTTTTCGCCAAATGATCAAGGATGCTCCTCGATGGTCCTCGCCGAAGGAAGAATGCACACGTCCGAGCGATGCCAAGGCCCCTTCTCGCTTCCCCCCGGGCTCGCCGCCGATCATCAGAAGGCGGCGGGGCTCCTCGGAAGCCCTCGCGCGGAACAGGGCCGCTCGCGTCTTCGGGGGAGGCTCGGGGCTCTGCCCGTGAAGCCAGGGGCCCGCGGAGCCATCCGAGGAGGCACGCCCCCCCCCGTTGACTCGGCGGGTCAAAGACGGGGTCCTGAGGGATGGGGTGCTGAGGACGAGGCGCCTCAAGCAGCGCACATCCACCCCTGGACCCCTTCCTTATTTTCAGGACCCCATCCCTCAGGATCGCATCTTTGAGCCACCGAGCTGCCTTCCCCCCCCCCCCTGGGCTTGCCGCCGAACCTTGATCTGCCTCATGGGGTTGTCCGACTTGTCGGGCATCCTGGTGGCTCGTCGCAACCCGGGGCCGCGCGCAAGGGTGCACGCTGCACCGGGAGTGGCCGATCGCTCGAGCAAAAACCTTCTGCGGAAAGAGACGGAGGCGGAGGCGGAGGAGGAGGAGGATGAGGATGAGGATGAGGATGATGATGAGGAGGAGAGGAGGAGGAGGAGGAGGAGGAGGAGGAGGAGGAGGAGGAGGAGGAGGATACGCACGGGCATGTGCATGTGGGAATAAACTGTCCACGGCGGCAGCGTCTGCAGGGAGGGGGCAAGGTGGGAAACGCGAGGGATTCGGGCCCGTCGGGGGCCCCCACGCCTGACCGGCTCCAGCGCGCTCGCCCCACAAGTGCCGGCTCTGGTGTGCAGGATCTGTTCAATGTTGGCCGGCTTGTCTCCTCCTCCTCCTCCTCCTCCTCCTCCTCCTCCTCGGGCAGCGTCCATGTGCATTCCCCCAAAAGGGGATTGGAGGAGTGGGTGGGTGAGTGGAGGGGGTGAAGCAGTCGGACCCAGGACATCATAGCATCCTTCAAGAGCACGAGGCCCTCCGTCGGCCTACACGCACGGAGCATCCAAGAGTGCCCTCCCGACGGCGCGCAAGAGCATCCAACAGACACGGGGCAAATTGGGGTGCCATCCCCGAACCGACCTCGATCTTACACCTCGGTCCGGCTGTACGAAGGAGGACAGGGGGCAGAGGTGGCGGGGCATCCTGCTCCGCCTTCCCCTCCTTCTCATGTTCTCCTCCTTCTCCAAGCCCTTCTCCTTGTGCCCTGCCCTGCTCCTCGCCCCTCCTACCCCCTCTTCAATCTTCTCCTCCTCCTCCTCCCCCTCCCCCCCCGTCCCCCTTCTCGGGACACGGGGAGGGGGAGGTCCTCTTTTCGCGTCTTGATGTAGTCCTTCAGGCTGTACTGCGCGATTTCGGTGACGACGTACAGCTGGCCGTCGGTGGGGTCAGGCCCAGGCTGCCCCTGCGCGCCCCTCCTCCTCCTCCTTCTCCTACTCCTCCTCCTCCTCCAACTCTGGCGGCGGAGGAGAAGTAGGAGGGCGAGGAGGGGGAGGTGGAGGAGGAGGATGCGGGTGAGTAGGCCGAAGACGATGACGACGAGGGCGAAGTGGGGGGAAGGAGGAGCGGAGAAAGGGTTCTTCGAAAGTTTCGGGCATACTTTGCATGGCAATCTGCGGAAGCATTTTCTGGCGTGTCGGGGAAAAGGCGCAGAGATGATGAGGGGAAGGCTTCGGGGACAACGGTGATAAGGAGGCGGCGGCGGAGGAGGAGAGAGATCCTCTCCTGCTACCCCTCTGAACCCACCAGAACCCCTTCGGGCATTCTAGAACCCGTCTGACTACCAAGCCTGCCCAAATCCTTCCCCCTCCCCCTACCCCTTCCTTTCCCCTCCCCATCCTTCGCCTTCTCCTCCTTCTCCCCTCCTTGCCCTCCTTCTCTCCCTTCTTCTTCTCCTCCTCCTCCTCCTCCTCCTCCTTATCCTCCTCCTCCTCCTCCTCTTCCTCCCCTCCTCTTCGTCCTCCTCGCCGGCAGCCTTCGGAAGAAGCAATCGAGCGCATCATAATACTGGGAAACAACATCCACATAGCTTCGAACACGCCGATACGATCCTTTCAACCTCCTTGTCTTCGTCTCCTGATGAAAGCACTGAGATCCCCAACGATTTCGTTTATTCACTCAAAACATGAAATAATAGCCTCCCATTCCCCACCTCCCCGTCCCTTTCCCCTTCCCAATCCTCTACTTCTTCCTACCGCTTACTCCTCCTTCAACTGCTGCTGCTGGTGCTCCTCCTCCTCCTCCTCCTCCTCCTCCATCCAGCTTCGCGCTGCGGACCTTTAGTTATCCGAAGCGCTGCGGCCGTCCCGTCCACCACTAGCAGTCCTCGCTTGGTTGGGGGGAGGGGGTGCGCGTCCCCTCCTCCTCCTCCTCCTCCTCCTCCTCCTCCTTCTCCCCTCCCTCTCCTCCTTCTCTCGCTTCTCCTTGTTCCTCCTCCTCCTCCTCCTCTTCCTCCTCCTCCCCCGTTCGGAAGTTGCCAGAAACATGTGAGAATCGCCGAAAGCATCAGAACGCGGAACACACATCGTAACACATCGAACATCTCCGCCTCAACCTCCTCCTCCTCCTCCTCCTCCTCCTCCTCCTCCTCCTCCTCCTCCCCCTCCTCTCCCGTGCCCTCGGCCGACGACGAAAACAAGTACGACAATGACGACGGGGACAACGAAAGGGACGACGACGAGTACGGCAACGAAAACGCGGACGACGACGAGAAAGACGAGTACCGAGACGAGGGCGGAAGCGAAGAGGACCATGATGGTAAGGATGACGATCGCGACGAGGACGACGCCGGCGACCGACGACCAGCGACCGCAGGAGGGCCTTCGCATCCTTCGAGTAGTCGAGCAGCTGCATGAAGACCTGCTCGGGCCCCGCAGCGGCAAGCTCCTGCCAGTGGGGCGGCCGAGAGCGGGAAGGGGAGGCGGGAGTGGGAGGAGGGGGGGCGGAGAGGGAGCGAGGGGGGAGTGAGGGAGCAGTGCGGAATGAGTAAGAGGAAGGGGAGTGAGTGAGTGAGCGAGTGAGTGAGCGAGTGAGTGAGACCAGTCGCGGAGCGGGTCCCAAACCACCCTACGGACGCCTTCGAGAGAGCAGCTCGGCCTTGCTGAGAACCTTCGACCATCGATCGGTGTGCATCCGATTTAAATACTCGCGTCGATTCGCATCCGTAGCCTCGAGTCACCTAAGTCCCAAGTTTCGATTCGTCTGACTACCGTAATTACCGCACCGAGCAAACAACCAGAGCTGCACTTGTTTATGTAAACGCATTTGGTGACTATTGTGCCCAGCCCCCGAGATATGAAACCGATTGATATGGGGAAATGCAAAGACACCCCCCTATCAAGATCCGCAGGCTCAACACACTCGGACTGCATCTACTCGGCCCGAGAGGCCTGGGACGCGGAGCTAAAGCACACACGACAACGTCTACCACAATCAGCAACGGAGTGGCTACTTGCAAAAGGCGTACTGCAGCAGCAGGAAGAGGACGGGGAGGAGGCTCAGGCTCTTTTTTCCTTGGCCCCGCAGCCTTCTCCAGCTGCGCTTCCACATCGAGCGTGTCGACTGTCGCTCGGATCAATCTCATACGTATCTGAAGAGCTTCCTGTTCAACTGAAGCAATACCATGTTTGCGGACCTCTAGCACACGATGTCGATCTGCCGCAACTCCTGCCAACTCGTCAGCCACACAGTTGCCCACAGCCAGCCGCCACGACACGCCTTTGCTTACAACTTCTGAACCAGACGAATGTGAATTCACTAACCTAACTGTGAAAATGCTGGGATCACGTGTCATACACTTTTGTCCCACACGGTGCCGGAGGTCGGCGTCGACACCCTCAAGGTTGAGGTACTGTCGCTCGCTCCAACCATCTGCCACTGCGGAGTTGTCCGTGACATAGATCGCGTACCCACTCGAGCTCTGGAGGGCGACCAGCATGACCATCAGCTCGCCACGGGGAACGCTTTGCCGTCCCCCAGGAAGCCCACCAGACACGGTGGCAGCAATCCTGATCGGGTCGAGGGAAAACAGCTGGACGACGCTGAGGCCCACGCGTCGAAAGCGTGGATCAGCATAATCTCGACCTCCGCTAGCATCACCGAACAGCCACAAGGGGTGATCCCACGATCCCTCGCCGAAGCAGATGGTGAGAATACCTGCCAACCTGCCAGACACATGCCACTCTGAGTCAAATATTGGTGGATCGACTGAGGTCCAGGCTGCGGGTAAACGTCACCTGCTGCGTCAACTCGCCTCGTCCGAAGCCGACTTCCTCCTCTCACTTCTGTGGTTAGCACCTCGGCCATCCGTGCTCCGTTGGGCGTGACCGGTAATTGTGCATGTAGCCTGCGCAAGGGAAGCATATCGACGCCACCTTCGCTGCCGCTGCCACAGGAATGCTGGGATGCTTGAGACCATACACGCTTAGTGATACTGGCTTGCGTATCATCAATAAGGCCCGTCGGAGCATCAACGTCTACCAATCCTGTCCAAGCTGAATCAAGAACATTCCATTCAACTTGAACGCCGTTATCTCCTGGTGGAAGGGCCACGCACACAGCCGAACGAGGATCTCAGCTATTGTCGAGGAGTAACGTGACCATGGCGAACAGAGGCCCGCGGATATGGCGTGAGCGATTGACTGACCTGGACACTGCGAATATAGCTCACAACTCCATCCCACGCTGCCATGATACTAGGACGAATTTTGGGCTCCTCTTGCCATGTGCGGAACCAGGCCTTGATACACTCAGCTGGCATGCGAAGAGCTTGGTGGAACGGCGCTTTGAGCGCTAGCAGCGTGGTGAGGCATCGGCCTCGCCCAGTAGATCCGCAGGCCGCCCCGCGTCTCCTGCGGTACGTGAGCATGTGGACTCCGAAGGCCTCGTGGATCTGGTAGCCGCGATGCTGATGCTAATGCTGATAATGCTGCTGCTGACGATGATGGTGATGCTGGCGATTCTGATGACGATGATGATGCGGGTCTTCGAAATGTGGCCCAAGAGATGATGGCACTGATGTTTATGATGTTGACGGTGGTAATGCGGATGATGGTGCTGATGCTCATGATGAGACTGCGGCTGATGAGGATGGCGACGATCGCAATCCTGCTGCTGATGCAACTGATGATGATGACGCTTCTGATGAAGCGGTACAGAGCAACCGATCGAACGATTGTGTCGGGGGAAATGATGATGATGATGAGGAGGAGGAAGAGGAAGAGGAAGAGGAATCGGAACGATCGCGACGCGATATACAGTACCACATCCCTTCTCTCTCTCTCTGAACTCCCCGAAGGCCAAGACGGGCCTCCCTTCTCCCCGTTTCCCTCCTGCTCCCGCTCTTCCTCCCCTCCCCTCATCTTCCCCCCATTGTCTCGTTCTCGCCGGTATCCTTCTCTTCCTCCTCCACATCCTATTCCCCGCTTCCTCTCCGTGCCTCTCGTCACCCTCGTCACCTTTTTCCTCCGCTTCCTCCTCCTCCTCCTCCGTCTGCTCCTCCTTTCATCCCGTCCTCCTCCTCCTCATCATCATCAGCATCAGCATCAGCATCAGCATCAGCATCATCATCATCATCATCATCATCATCATCATCATCATCATCATCATCATCATCATCATCATCATCATCATCATCGTCATTCTCTTCCGTATCCTCAGAATCTCCCCTGCGCCTTCGAAATCCACCTCCTCCTCTTCTCCTCTGCCTCCTCCTCCTCCTCCTTCTCCTCCTCCTCCTCGTCTCGTTCGATCCCCCGAAACTTTCGGGGACCGCCTAGAACGTGCAACACCGATGGCAATATCCGATCTCCTGTTATAGCTCGCGGATGGGTTAGAGAGAGCAGCCTGCTTGTATACTTCGTGCGTTCCCTTCCCCTCCCCCTCCCCACCGTGCCGCCTCTCCTCCGCCTCCTGAGCCCCCTCCTGCCTCCTCCCTCTTTCACTCTCGCTGCTCCCTCTTCGTCCAGCTTCTCCCCTGGTGCGGCCGCTCCTCCGCTCCTCCTCTGCCTCCTTATATTCCTCCATGTCCTCCTCCTCCTCCTCCTCCTCCTCCTCCTACCCCTCCTTCCTCCTTTCCCCACGGGCTGCCCAACCCAAGCCTCCCGTCTTTCTATCCAACTTCGTCCTCAGTATCCTTCTCCGCCCTCCTCTACCTTCTCCTCGCCCTGGAGCCCAAAGCCTCGTCGACCCACCAGACGGGTCCAGAGGGGGGCCGAGCGTTTCGCCCGATGTGGCTTTAGCGTGAGCGCCAGGCGCATTCGTATTACAACATTCCGGCAGCTTCACGGGTGGAGGGCAAGTTGTTTTCAACCTGCGGGTGTCAATGTGGCGCTGCGCACAATCGACGGTGCAGCTTCCGGGTGGAGGGCGGCTCCTCTTCAACGCAGGACGTGGGCTTCCCTCGATGCTCCCCGAACCTTTGAGGCCCTCGGGAGCGGCCAAGAGGGGGGTGTCCAAGAGGGGGGGGTGCAAATCATGACCGGCGGCATGTGCGCGGCCCAGCGGGGGGGCCAGGGACGTAATGACATAAGAATGGGCGCCATGAAATCTGGGGAAATATCATGGCCCACGCCATGATATCCCCCCCCCCCTAGTCATCCCCCCCCCTCTTTTCTGCCCCCGAGACCAGAGGTCCTCAGGGGGTGAGTCAGTCATGCTGGTCGAGAGCGGCTGCCTCTCAAGCCTGGGCTCTCGCCTGGGGGCTGCGCAGCTGCACGGCCACGACTCTACGCAGCGTGCAGCACCTGCACGGCGGGCGGAGACGGGGCTCCTGCTGTGGACACTTCCCTGGGACTGTGGGATCGTACGGCAGGTTCGTGTCGTGTCGACCTCGGCGTTGGTTTTTGACACCGCAGGGATCGTTCAACCTTGAACGATCGGCCATTTCCGCAACGTCCAATCGTTCAACATCGACCGATTCCGGGCCGCCGCCGGCGTTCAACCTTGAACGCCCGCGCTGGGGTCGCCGCCGGTCGACACGACGCAAACCTACCGTACCCCTCGGCCTTCTTTATCCTTGGCGGTGCGCACAAGGGGGTGGAGGGAGGGGGAGGGCTTCTTAGACGGAGGCTGCTCCTTAGAAGGCGCCAGCCTTACATCTGTATATGACGCCAGCGCCTTCTAAGAAGCAGGGGTGCTTCTAAGAAGCCCTCCCCCCCCTCGGCCTTCTTTCTCCGCCAAAATGCCCTGAGGCGCGAGCTGGAGCATCCTCGGGGCCGTGTTGGCTTGCCCGTCGTCAATCCGCAGGGCTGCATGCCTAGAGGCCTGGGCCCCAGTTCCCGGATTCTTTGGGCGTTACGCGGCTCGTCGCGTAAGTTCTTCGGAGCCAGGAGGGCCCTAGAGCTAGCCAAGATGGCCCAAGAGGCCCCTGAGACAGTCCAAGTGGGCTCCGAGTCGCCAACATATTGCTCCACCACGCCCAGAATTGTCTCCAGACGGCCCCAGAGGCCCCGAAGACGTTCCACGAGGGCTCCAAGAGCTCTTCTAACAAGACTCCAACAGGCCAACACCATTGATGTTCCGTCGGTTTGGAAGGATGTGAACGTGTTCTCCTGTTGTAGTCTTCGACGCTCCGAGACGATCTAAGAAGCACCCACCATCGCCCCAAGACGGCTCAAGAGGCTCCCAAGAGGGCCCCCAGACGGCCCACGAGCGTCCCAAGACGGCCCGAGAGGCCCCCAAGACGGCCCACCATGGCTTCACGAGGGGCCCAAGAGAGGCTCCATGGGGGGAGGACGCGCCGACATTTCGAGCGCTCCGCCCCAAGACGACCCCCGAGACCGCCAGCAGGCCCCCCGGCGGCGCCAGGCCTGTATCAGGCCCTGCGAGGGCCCCAAGAAGCCCCCCCAAACACTCCACAGCCGCCTCCGAGAGGCTCCCGGGAAGCCTCGTAATACAGTCGAGGCGTTGGCCTAAGGAACCCTAAATAAGGAACGAGGCCCCTTTTTTTCCATACGTTAAACGTCGATTTCCGATCGAGAACATAAGGAACACCTGAGGCAAGCTGTGAAACACTTAAGGAACGCGGAGCCCCTCCCCAACGAAAAGGGTTCCTTCTTCAGGGCCCCCACTGTAGACCCCCACAGGCATCCAAGAGGGCTCTGACCTGCAACCTTGGCGCGGTGTCGGGATGGGCCGACGGCCACTCGATCCGCCGCCCCCTGTGGTCTCGCCACAGGGGTGCCCTGAGTGCTGAGGTTCAGGTGATTTGGGGCTCTTTTCAAAACTGCCCTGGGGCTTCGGTTCATTGCGCTAGTCTCGCGGAAATTGTACATGTCAATGCCTTTCTCGCCCAAGATGGTCTAAGATGGCCTCCGAGATGCCTCCAGGACGCCTCCCAGACGGCCAAGATGGCCCCAAGAGTGCCCAAGATGGCCCTAAGATGCACCCAATAAGGCCCAAGATACACCCAAAACATCCCAAATATACATCCAAGACGGCCCAACTGGCCGTCAAGAGGATCTCCAGGAAGGTCCGAAGAAGCCAACATCATTGATTCTCCCTACGTTTTTGAAGACGCCCCACGGCGTCAGACGGGCCAGGAATGCCGTAAGATGGACAAATAATCCAAGAAGCCCCCATAGGCCCCCTGAGAGGCCCAAGGAGGCCCCACAGAGGCCTCCAAGAGGCCCCCGGGAAGCTCCCAGGAGACCCCAAGAATGACCCAAGAAGCTCCCAATGGGTCTCTGCATCCTTCTTCTCATCCTTTTTTTTCTCCTCCCTCTCCTCATCCTCCCCTTCCTCCCCCACGTGTTCTCTGGAGGGCTTCCACAACGGCTCGGGGAACGCATGGCCCAACAGCGTGGCCAAACTTTGCCAACATGTTTGGGCACGCAGGCGTACTCCAGATTTCGTAATAAAGGGAGGGGGGTCTCATTTCGGGGGGGGTCTCTTCCAGGCTATCTTGGAGGGCCTGGGGGGGTCTGGGGACGATGTTTTGGAGGGTTCTCCCACTGGGGGGGGGTCTGAAATGGCTTGTCTTGGAGGGTCCAGACCCCCTCCCCTTTATTACGAAATCTGGAGTATCCTGAAAGGCAGGGGGCGGCCGTGGTTCGCCGGAGGCGGCTTCGATGGCCAGAAAGGCTGAAGGCCCATGGGGCGCTTACTTGTCGTGGAAGCGAGCGCGTGGAGGGTCTTCTCATCGGAGGACTTGAACTGGGAGGATCGAAGAGGATCGAGGAGGAGGAGGAGGAGGACGAGAATCAGGAGGAGGAGGAGGATCGAGGAGGATCGAGGAGGAGGAGGAGGAGGATGACGAGGAGGATCGAGGAGGAGGAGGAGGAGGAGGAGGAGGAGGAGGAGGAGGAGGAGGAGGAGGAGGAGGAGGAGGAGGAGGAGGAGGAGGAGGAGGAGGAGGAGGAGGATCAGGAGGAGGGACTGGGGACCTCCAGGATCGCAGGCCTGATCAACTGTGGCGCCGGCTGGGCCTCTCCGGGCCCCCCCCCCCCAGGCCTACTGGGGCGGCCTCAGGCCAGCATCACCGTCGATGCATCCCGGGTTTCCTCTGGTCCTCGTGCTCGTTGCTTCTCCTCCCCCCAGTGGGAGCCTCGAGGAGCTCTTGACGAGTCACGAACACATGGTCGACCCAACTCCTCCCGAAACACTCGGACACCATGAGCAGCTTCTCCCTCCTCGCGTCGTCGTCGTCGTCCTTTTCCTCCTCCTCCTCCTCCTCCTCCTCTTCCTCATTCTGCTCAGTCTGCTCCTTCTCTCCTCCCCCCCACCTTGCTCCACAGCTTGGGGTCGGCTGGCTTCTCGAAGGGGCGCTTGAGCTCCTCCAGCACCTTCGCACAGGACCGAACCCTCGACGCCGGTAGCGCTAAGATAGGTCAGACGCGGGGATCACGAGGGTTTGCGCCCCCCTTTGCACGCCCTACGTGGGCATGGCACACATGAGAGAGCGATTCCTGTGTACGCTGCACTGGTGGCAAGACCCGTCCTTCGGACCCTCCCCGGGCGTGCTCCCAACGTCCTCAGAATACGCTCTCTCGACAAACATGGGTACGACGCCCAACATCACATGCTGTCCAAAACTTACGGCGGCCGCCGTTGGTCGTCTCAGGTGGACAGCGCCCGTGGCGACATGGACAACGACACCGAGGAACTGCTGTTGGTCTTCGTCCCCATTCGTTCTGTACCCGTTTCCGACCCTCCCTGGTGAGGGGGAGCGTAAAGGGGCGGGAACCACCTCAGGGAGGGGAAGCTATCGGGCCCCCATCGGCGATGAATGGGTGATTGGTGGTCGATGTGCCCCCCTGGAGCCTAGCCCCTCCCCCCCCCCCACGTCGCCCCTGACCCGGGGGCTCCAGACCCGGGCCGGAGGCGGCCCCACCCCCCCACCTCCCCCCCAGAACGCCCGCCTCGGGCGCCCAAGGGACGGCGGAGCTCGAGCCGAGGCATTCATCCAACTAGACGGAACAAGAACTACATCAACATTAATCTTTGGAGGTCCGCACGGATTTCTTGGATCTGCGCTAGACCCCCATCCCCGGCGCGCGGAGCGCTCCAGGGGCGGCGCCGGATGCGCCGCCAGGGGGCCTCAGCGCCGATCCAAGAAATCCGCGGAACGCCGAACCAGTATAGGTGTCTGCCGTGTTTTGTTCTTCGACCATGACGGGCCGATTTCCCACCACAACTGCCATAGGTAGGAGAGGGAGGAGGTGGAGGGGGAGGAAGAGGAGGAAGAGGAGGAGGAGGAGGAGGAGGAGGAGGAGGACCTCCCCGTCCTTTCTCCACCTTCGTCCTGCCTGTGGCAGTGGTGGGAGATTGGCCCATCAGGCCAACGCCTGCCTCGATCTGCCTCTTGAACTTCACCAGCGCCACCTTGTCGCTGTTCCTCTTCGCCTTCCGGCGGCGTGCCGCGAGGGGGGGGCAGGAGGGCCTCTCGTGGTGGCACCGCGGCTGCTGACGAGTGGCTCCTCGGAGGCCCCCCCGAGCCCCTCTTTCGGCGGCGCGCCCGGGGATGGAAGTGAGAAGGGGGCGGGCCTTCTCATAAGGCTTGGGAGTCCCCGGGCCTTCTGAACATGTTCCACGCCATCTCCGAAGACACAAAAGACTTCTCAGAAGGCCGGGGTGCTTCCGAGAAGCCCCGCCGCCTCCTGAAAAGGCCTTCTCCTTCTCACTTTCCCCCTCGCTCGCAGCCGACTCTGAGGATCACCCCCTGTGCCCTGCAAGAGGCCAGAACCCTCGCTTCCTGGGCGGGACGGGGCTATCGGGACCCTATCGGCGATGAATGGGCGATTGGGGGTCGAGTCACCCTCCCCCTATGCCGATCCCCCCCTTATCGTTGCCCCTGACACCTGGTGGCCCCCAAAGCAAAAACAACACTCGAACACCCGTAGTATTTTCCAAAGGAATGCTTGCACTGAGGGGTTCTTGCTTCTCTCCTAAGGAATCGGGACGGTGTGCCGCTCTGGCGGCTATGTAATCGCCGTCGCCGCCCCCCCGCCGCCTCGTGGCCGCCAGCCGTCTGGGCCGGTGTGCAGCTCTGGCGGCTATGTAGTCGCCGTCGCCGTCCCGCGTTGCCGCCTCGTCGCCGCCGGTCGTCTGGGCCTGTCTGCGAATCTGGCAGCTGTGTTGCCGCCGTCGCCGCCCCGTCGCCGCCCCGTCGCCGCCTCGTTCGTCGCCCCCTTAAGGTGCTCCACATATATTGCATCAAACATATTCTCCTTTCCCGACAAAAATACTAGAATTTCCCACCCCCGGGATTCTCACCTCCCCCTTGCGTATTGCAACTTGCGAATGATTCTGTCCCATCGTCCATCTTAAAGGTGAACTTACACCAGGGGGGCTGGTATCGCCACCCCCGCAATCATCAGCAAAACATTTTGTGCGCGCGAACTTGTTTATCAAAAACCATCGATTTCCAAGACCCCCTTGCAAAATAATGAACCGAAGTGCGCACGTGCGCTTTGTCGCGCGCGTGCCAACATCCTTCAAAAACCTTTGGTTTCGTAGGGATTTCGCAATGAAGTGTCATCGCAGCAACAAATAAAACACACTGGCTTCGCAAACGAACATGTGCGAACGCTCTTGCGAATTCTTGGGGAGACCATCGATTTTCAACATTTTCAAAAAATACTAACAAACGGGCTCCGCGCGCGCATGTCAAAATCATGCGTGCTGTCGCGAGAACCCTTTGCAACAAATGGGACGACATGCGCGCGCGCGTGCGCGTCGTCTCGCGCGCATGACGGAATCCCTCAAAACCTTCGTGCATAACCGAGTGTCCAAACAGCATACGAACACACATTGTTTCGTACATCAGTTTTCAGAAAAGCGTGCGCTCGCGCTCTTGAGAATTCTTGGGGAAAAAGCCATCGGACTTTCAACATTTCCATGGCATTCTCCCAAACGGGCCTCCCGCGCCGCATGCGGACATCATTCGCACGCCCTTGCGCGCGTGCTGGGGGGGCACGATCCGTGTCCAATAACATCATGGGGGCCACTCTCGCGCGTCGGCCGCGCGCGCATGTCGACCTCTTCCCAAAACCTTCATCGCCGACGCGAGGGCGCCGTCATCGTCGTCGGCGTGATCAGCAACGGCGCCCGCACTGGCCGCGTCTTCGTCCTTGTCAACGTTGTCACCAACATCGTTGCTATCATCCTCGTGTCTACCGTTGTTGACGTTGCCATGATACCGCGCCCTCCCAAATCGCCGACTCGCACTGATGTGCCCGCTGGGATGTGCCCAACGGTCAGCGCCACCGCGGCCGCGGCGGTCGCGCCTAACTAGCTGGCCGCTGCGCCCGCGAGCATGCGGGGCTGTCGCGGCCGCAGAAATGCCCCAGCCAGTGCCGAACACTCATCGCAATCGCCGCCGCATGGGGTTTGCAAACCAACTTGCGGGTGGGTGGGTGGGATGGATGTTTGTAAGGGCGTGGGGTGTGCCAACTCGTTTGCTAAAACCAACGGCGCCAAATATATTGCAACACGTCGGTTCTTCTAAATCGAGAGTCGCTTCTACCCCCAGGATTATCACTTTCCCTTTTCGTATTACGATTTGCATTTGATTCTGCCTCATCGCTCATCCAACAATGAGCTCATACCATCCCAGCCAAGCTGGTGTCGCCCCCCCGCCAACGTCTTCAAACAGTAACGATGTGCGCATGCTCTTTTATACGAAATCACAAAATTTAATTAATCCCGGGCGGAGCAAACACAGGGCGACGTGCACATGTGCACGCCGCCGCGCGCGCATGCCGCAATCCTTCAAGAACCTTCGGTTTCGTCGAGGTTTCGCAAATGAGCGTCAACGCAACAGATGAAAAAAAACACATGGTTTCGCAAGGCGAGTTTTCAAACAAAGCTTGTGAACGCGCTCTTGCGAATTCGGAAGACAAGCATACATTTCTTGGTGTTTTTTGTTTTTTGTTTTTGTTTCCCCCCCGGCACTCCCGTGGTGTTGGGTCCTCGTTTTGAAGAGACAGCGCCCGCGTCCTCCTTCCTTCTCCTCCCGCTGCCTCCCCTCCCTCTCCCTCCCTGCCTCTGCCCCTTGCACGTCTCTGTTTCGGCACGCCCCTCACACGGTTCGTGGCCCTATCAATTCCACCACCATTTCGGCACCCCCCACACGGTTCGTGGCCCATAAGGAGCTTTACCGAAGGCCCCAGCGGCAAAGCTCGCATGCAGTTCCGCTCCCATTTTGGCGCACCCCTCACAAGGTTCGCGGCCCCGCAAGGGGCTCCACCGAAGGCCCCAGTGGCAAACTTTGCATGCAATCCCACCCCCATTTCGGCGCACCCCTCACACGGTTCGTGGCCCTATAGGGAGCTCTACCGAAGGCCCCAGTGGCAACGTTCGCATGCAATTCCGCCCCCATGTCGGCGCACCCCTCACACGGTTCGTGGCCCAATCTGTTGCTCTACTGCAGGCCTCAACGGCAAAGTTCGCTTGCAATTCCACTCCCATTTCGGCGAACCCCTCACGCGGTTCGTGGCCCCATAGGGAGTTCCACCGAAGGCCCCAACGGCAAAGTTCGCGCGCAGTTCCACCTCCGTTTCGGCGCACCCCTCACACGGTTCGTGGCCCCGTGGGGGCTCCACCGAAGGCACCAGTGGCAAAGTTTGCATGCAGTTCCACACCAATTTCGGCGCATCTCTCACACGGTTCGTGGCCTCATAGGGAGTTCCACCGAGGGCCCGGGTGGCAACGTTCGCATGCAGTTTCACACCCGTTTCGGCGCGCCCCTCGCATGATTCGTTGCCCCATGGGGAGGTCCACCGAAGGCCCCAGCGGCAAAGTTCGCATGCAGTTCCACCCCATTTCGGCGCACCCCTCACAAGGTTCGCGGCCCCATGGGATGCTCCACCGAAGGCCCCAATAACAACATTCGCATGCAATTCAACCCCCAGTTCGGCGCAACCCTCACACGGTTCGTGGCCACATACGGAGATCCACCGAATGCCCCAGTGGCGCAATTCGCATGCAGTTCCACCCCCATTTCGGCGCACCCTTCACACGGTTCGTGGCCCCACAGGTAGCTCTACCGCAGGCCCGAATGGCAAGGTTCGCATGCAGGTCCACCCCCACTTCGGTGCACCCTTCACACGGTCGTGCCCCCATAGGGAGTTCCACCGAGGGCCCGAATGGCAACGTTCGCATGCAGTTCCACCCCTTTTTCGGCGCACCCCTCACGCGGTTCTTGGCCCCATGGGGAGCTCCACCGAAGGCCCCAGTAGCAAAGTTCGCATGCAATTCCACGTCCATTTCGGCGCACCCCTCACAAGGTTCGTGGCCCCATATGGAGCTCCACCGAGGACGGTATTTACCATTGCGTTATTCACAACTGCGTATGGTTGGGTTCTTCGCCAGGGTACTTTGTGTGTTTGCTTTGAGTTCATTTATATATATATATATATATATATATATATATATATATAAAAGAATAACACATTACCAGGCACAAATTCTACCAAGCGGGCTTCGCGCGCGCATGTCGAAATCGTTCGAACGCCCTTGCGCGCGTGCCGTCGCGAGAACCCTTTCCAACACATGGGGCGACATGCGCGCGCGCGGCGTCGTGCGCGCACGCCTCAACCCGCCAAAAAAATCAAGATGGTTTCGCGGCGATTTCGAAACCGCGTGTCAAAAACTCATACAAACGCACAGGGTTTCGCAACACCAGTTTTTTATTTTAAAAATATTTTGGCAAAAAAACTTGCGCTCGCGCTCTAGCGAATTCTTGACAACACCGTCGGGTCTTCAACGTGTTCATGAAATTCTGCCAAACGGGCCTCTCGCGCCGCATGCGGACATCATTCGCGCGCCCTTGCGCGCGTGCTGGGGTGGTGGTGGATCCGTGTCCACTAGTACCATGCGGGCCACTCTCGCGCGTCGGTCGGCCGCGCGCGCATGTCGAATTCTTTCCAAAACCTGCACCACCGACGCGAGGACGCCGTCATCGTCGCCGGCGTGATCAGCATCGGCGCCCGCACTGGCCGCGTCTTCGTCGCTGTCAAGATCGTCACCAACATCGCTACTATCATCATCGTGTCTACCGTTGTCGACGTTGCCATGATACCGCGCCTGCCCAAGTCGCCGACTCGCATTGATGTGCCCGCTGGGATGCGCCCAACGGTCAGCGCCACCGCGGCCGCGTCGGTCGCGCCCAACTAGCTGGCCGCTGCGCGCGCGAGCATGCGCAGGCTGTCGCGGCCGCAGAGATGCACCAGCCAGCGCCAAACACTTATCGCAATCGCCGCCGCATGGGGTTTGCAAACCAAATTGCGGGTGGGTGGGTGGGATGTTTCGCGAGCAGTGGAGTGGACAACTTCAAGTTGAGCATTGGTGGATTGAACCACATAGACTGTTCAACATCTACCCCAACAGCTCGCAAACTACATATTGCACCGTACATATTGTACAACACATGTTGTACACCATAGGTTGCTTCAACTCGATTGCATAACTCAGATTGCACCACCTAGGGTGCACCCCGTCGTCTTCTCTACCTAACATGCACCACACCAGTTGCACCCCAGAAGTTGCACCCGATATATTGCACCACATAGGTCGCGTCACACAGACCGTCCAACACATATTGCAACACATATACGGTAAAACATAAATCGCAGCACACAGGTGGCCCCCCACATATTGCATATCATAGATTGCACCACGTCGGTTGCACACCAAAGACTGCATAACATTGGTTGCACAACGTATTGCGTAAACTAGATTGCGCCAAGTAGATTGCACAACGCGCGTTGCTCTACACCAGGTGGTTGCACGACATACACTGCACCACATAAATTGTTCAATATTGATTACGCCGCATGGATTGCACACCATATATGGCACCATATCGTTTGCACTACAAAGAATGCAGAACATGGGTTGCACAGCATATATTGCACCGCGTAGATTGTGCAGCACATACTGCTCCCCTGCAATTGCACAATATCGATTGCACAATATAATTTTGTCTACCCAGAATTCACCACCTAGACCCCGGAGATTGCACCCCATATGCTTCACAACATAGGCTGCACAGCACAGATTGCAGAACATATGCTGCACAACATGGGTGCGCAGCGCTGATCGCACAGCATGGCTTGCACAACATATATTGAACGGCGCTGTTTACTTACACCACGCAGATATGCTCCACACAAGCCGCACCACACATTTTGCACCACATAGGCTGTACGAAATAGATTGCACCACATACATTGCGCCACGTACAGGGCTTCTCTATTACATAGGATTTTTAAACCTGTAGGACCGTTAATAATGGTCAATTTATGAATGAGTTTGTGCATGAACTCATCGTTGTTTTTAACACAAAATCCCTGCATTCTTAATACATGATCCGCACGCGGAGCATGTATTAAAAACGGCCCTGAAGACTCCACCATCAATTCCTAGGAAAAACGAGCTGCTTGGGATCCACGCTGGCGAATGTTCCAGAACAAGCAGCACACACAGCCCCGATCCGCGACCCGGTGCGCGCCGCCGCGCCTTGTACGTCTTGATCGCCACCATCTTCTGCGTTTCGGTGTCGAGGCCCTTCCTGGAGGCACAGAACACACGATACCAACACAACGCTTCGGAGGTCCGCGCAGATTTCTTGGAACGGCGCTGGACTCCCGCCTGGCGCGAAGCGCGCAGGGGGCGGCGCCAAACACTGACCCAAGAAGCCCGCGCGGATCTCCGACAACTTAAATTGGTGTAGTGCTTCTTCTTCGACTTCCGGCAGATGCTCGAGGTGCCCTCGCCCATGAAAGCGTCCTCTGTCATGAACATGGTGTACCTCCGGGGTGGGCTTGTCACTCTAGGGTTGAGTGGCTACAAGAAGAAGGGAGTCCGTGGAACACTGGTCGAGACCCTGTTGGGAGGCCCCAAGTGCGATGCCTGCTACAAAGCGGCGGTTCCAAATTCTGAAATGTCTGTGTGGGTGAGTGTGAGTGGGAGTATGCCAGAGCTTGCTCTGAGTATGAGCGCGTCTGGGTATGATGAGCGCCTCCTGGGTATGAGTAAATCTGGGTGCGAGGGGGTCAGAGAATATGAGAACCGAAGTGTGAGCGATTAGGCGTGTGGGTGCATCTGAGTATGAGTGAGTCTGAGTGTAAGTGGGTCTGAACATTAACGACATGACAACGTCTGAATAGGAACGAGTCCAATTGTGTGTGTGAAACTGGGCGTGACTGGGTCCGAGCATGATTTAATATCAGTTTGAGTAAGTCTGAGTATGACTAAGTCTGGGTATGAGAGAGTCTGGTGATACTAAGGGTGATGGGCAGGATGGAGGCGGGAGTAATGCAAGTGACGTGAGACGCTAATACTTACCCCATGCCTAGGGCACTGGGAACAATCATCCCTTTTACTTAGGAGATGTGGGATGACGGGGAGTGCATAACTCTGAGCATGAGAGCTGCAGAACACCATAATACATAATATCGAAAGAACGCGTAACAAAGGACAGCTACCAACATGATAACGGACAATCGAAGATCGCAACAAGGAGGAGGCGGGAGGGTGAAGGAGTCTGCAATGTGATTGAGCGTGGGCGTGAACGAGTCTGGGTATGAATGAGTCTGGGTATGAAGATGTCTGAAGTCTGAGTGTGATCATCCATTAAACCACGAGTGTGTCTGAGCATGGGAAAGGGGACAATGATTATGAGGCTGGGGAGGGGGCGTGCCACTAAGAGCAATAACAACACACATAGGATAAAGGAACCATGGGTAAATCAACCTTTTGCAAAGACGAAAAATACCGCACCGGAAGACATGGAGCTAATGCTACCAGATCTGACGCCCTTCGATTGCACGACGCTTCCCGCCATGATCTCTAGAAACTCAGAACGCCTCAGAACCATGTGTGCAACACCCACGGCACGACGGTCTGTGGCGACAATTGTGGCACTCTGATGTCCAGATTCTTACGCAGGGAAAACTGTGCCAATCGAACATACTCGGCTAGCGTTTCGAAAACGGTCCCACGAAAGACCGCCATGCAACCGGCCAATCAAATTTTGATCTCCACAGCAACCGAGCTAGAACAGGTGGATGCGGCACATCGCACGAGACGTATAAACATCCGTTTGACAGCACTTCTATGTCTTGGGAACAGGTTCGACAGCGAACTGTGCAGAACCGAAAGAAAAGTCCTCCTCGCTTTCAGGATCGAGTGAAGCTTCTCAGAGGAGGCCTTCAGCACTTTCGCCGAAGCGCACCAGGGATTCCAAGCAGGACAGGCATTGAACATCTTAGTGCAAGGACAGCAAGCGGCTGTTATGGAAGAGTCTTGGGGCATGGGCGGGCGTCCTGGCGACCTGGGCAGCTCACAAGATTTGGCACGTACTCGTGCTCACGACTCGTGCGCCAGTTCTGAGGCGCACCGCAGAGACACCAGCTATCAAACCCATGATTGCAATTGCCATGAGAGGGACGTGGCCAATAGTTGGTCGCAGCCCGTGGGCATCGAGTGCATTTCAGGCATTGTGCGCAGGGTGCGGTGAAGCAGACGATGCAATGTCCCATCGTGCGTGACATTGTGCTTCGAACCAAGGGATCGGCAACACACACGCACACTTGTGCTTGCATGAATGAAGCACGTGCCCAAGATCCGATGATACCATGAACGTGAACGGAGCCCATACAGCCAACTTTAGACCCAACATTGAACCTTGAAGTGCATTATTTTCGAATCTGGGCTACCATGCACAAATCCCCCCACTGAAGAACATCAATGTGTATGTTAGGTTGCCCAATCGGATAAACATACACTGTGGACATTCGAACGCAAGACGTTGGAATCGTAATTGTTGACGTGGAGCACAAGCGAGCGCCTTCTTTCCCCCCAACAGATCACACACACATGTAGATACTTATATCTATATATATATATATATACACACCCTGGGAATCACAATGACAATGTACTGATCTCTCCACGGACATTTTCAGACGGTGGCTTTACACCAGAATTCGAAATCGTCTTTGTGTCTGTATAGTTCGGTTTGTGAACTCCCGCTTGGACGGGGTAGCAGTTCACGTCAACACGCATGAGTGAGTTGTTGCATTCGGAAGTGCTGCTGCTAACCAGGTGGTAGAAATAACCGCGCGGGCCCATCGGATACTTGAAGGTAAGAGAGGTCGCAATCATTCATTTAAAACTGACTCTTGAGCCACTTGCTCAGACACCGTATTATGCGAACAACTCCCGGGGCGCTGATTACTACGAGGGGCTCGGCCTCGATGCCCACACGAGAAGACGCAAGCCCTCCGCGAGCCCCTCTACAAGTACGCAAAATGAGTACTACTCTCCTCTCTCCCCTGATGACGTCCGGAAGATATTCGGCCGCGTACTGTTTCCTTACACACAAGATTCCAAGGAACTGGGCTTTCGCTTGTTTTTTCAATACATGCTGCTCCCGCTGAAGCGCTGGCCTCATTTTCGGCCTTCCGCTCGTTCGGAATCGTGCTCCTGCTGCAGCGCTGGCCTTATTTCCGCCATTCCACTCGCTCCGAAGCGTGTTCCCGCTGCAGCCCTTGGCCTCATTTTCTGGTTTTCATATGTGTTTTTGGCAATCCGATTCTTTTCGGTCCTTCAAAATGTTGCTCCCGCTGCAGCGCTGGCCCCATTTCTTCGCCTCTTGTTGTTCCAAAACGTGCTCCCGCTGCAGCTCCGAATAGGCCCCAATCTAAAAAAAGACTCCCAGAACAAAACATTGCACGTGCTTGCGCATCTGGTGTCGATTCGCTGAGTTTTGGACCGCAGAAGGCCCCCGGGCGGCGGCCTTCGGAGGGCGTATCAAGCGGGAGCCCTGCTTCTGCTTTCAGCAGGCGATGTTGCAAGCAGAGCCAACGGGTGCTTTCCATCAGCCCCGCCTTGTGTTAACGAGCGAAGAATGGTATAAACTAAACATTTTCGCTGTCGGGGGCGCCTGTCCCTTGGCGGCTGGAAAGTTTATACCCTTACGGTGGCACCGTAGGGGTATGAACTTTCCAGCCGCCCAGGGACAGGCGCCCCCGACAGCGAAAAAGTTTATTTTATACCGTTCTTCGCTCGCTGATTGTGGGGAGCTTGCCGCGGAACCTAGGGAACTACACACGGCGCCGCGACTTCAGACCGGCCCCGACGCTTCGAAGACGATCCACTCACCCTCTGAGGAACCCGGTGCCCTGCCATGACATGCTGTGCGGTGTTCTGGTCTGCGCCGCTGTGCAATGCCATGCTCTGCACTGCAAAGGTCTGTGATGCAGCGCCTCACTACGCAATGCCGCGCCATGCTATGACATTCTACGCTCTGCCGTGCTCTTCTACGCCATGCCATGCCGTGCTCTACGATGCATCGCGCACCCTCTCGCGATCATTGCCCTGTTCGACATCCGCCTGTGCGAATAGAGAGGAGATCTACGCTACGGTAAGGGATGGAAGGGAGGGGTAGGACGTCAGGTATGACGCGAGCGCACCGAGCTTGGATGCCCCCCTTCGCCTTCTCCCCTCTGGGCTGCACGCGAGCTTCTTTGCTCAGCGCTGAGGAGCACTCGCTGAATGCTGTGGCCAGAGACGTGCTCGGTGTCATAGCTTGGCATCCAAAGCCACACTCATGGGGGAGCCCTCAGAGTCAGTGCTGCGAACCAGAGGCAGAGAGGAAACTGCTCGATACTTCACGGGGGGGCTCGTGTTCACATGGCTGGAGCAGGGGCGCGTGCAGAATCACAAGCCACAAACCGTAAAGCCTCTCAAGCTTTCACGCATGATTTGGAATCGGATGCAGGTACTCTATCGGGAACTGGAACATCTACATTACCATTGGCGGGTTGTTCTTTCAATCCCACGACTTTTTGAGGGTCGGGGACGACGTCGGGGTGGTGTGCTGTATACTTTTCCTCCGTTTTCCAAGGGGAACAACGAAACATGTATACACCAGGATCCCGTATACACCAGGATCCGCGTTCCTGTGCGAATTTCAGCGCAGGGTCGGAAAAAAGCGTCGGTGTACAGAGGTCGGTTCCCTATTATAATCCAACCGAGCTCGTTTATCTCAGCAACCTGTACCCGAGAATGTGACGTCCAACTGGCAGCGATGTTGTCAGCGGGCTGCTGCTCAAATATGGCCCCATATAATCTGAGCCGAACCGGGAGGCGCCCGGCGAAGGCAGATGCAGCCTCACGTCTCTCGTGCACTGATGGGCTCCCTCCCCTCCCCCTCGTCCACACCTCCTCCGCTTCCACCCTTCCGTCCTCTCTTGCTCCTGCCCTCCCCCTCCATCCGCCCCCGTCTTCCCCCTCCCGCTGTACCTCTTCATCACCGTCAGGTCTCTGCTGGGGTTCAGCGACGACCTCTTCCGGGTAATCACCTCGGGCTTCGGCGCCGGCGGGGGCTTGACAGCGGCGTCGTCGGCGGGGGACTTCGCGGCCTCCTGCGGACCCAGCAGATGTTCAGGAGGAGGCGGAGGAGGGCGAGGCGGCGGAAGACCCAGAGGAGGTAGGAGGAGAAGGTGGAGGAGGAGGAGAACGTGGTGGAGGAGAATGAGATGCAGGGTGGGGAGGAAAGGGAGGAGAGGTAGGAGGAGGAGGAGGAGGTGGGGGAAGAAGAGGTGGAGAGCAGGAATACAGACAAGGAGGAGGGCAAGGCCATTCAGAGGTGTGGGCTGATGCTGCGAGGGCCAGCGGAACAGCAGCCTGCCTTCTCACCTCCTGGCTCCGAGGACGCATGCCGGTGCACAATCCCCGCCGTTCTCGCTGGATCCGCGTGTGCTCGTGCCGTCCGCTGCCTGCGCGGCGTTGATGACCTCCGAAGGCCCGGACCGCCACTGCTTCAATCGAAAATTAGTCGTGCTGGCGCAGCGGCTTCAGCCCATCGCTGTGGCGTCGAGTCGGCGCCATCAGGCCTGGCGCCAATTCTCGTAGTCATGGGGGTAAGACGTAAGGCGCCACCGCATCAAACCAACACAATGGCCTTCCGCTGCCTAAACCACGGTGTTTCTCGGTTCGCCCCACAATTTCCTCTATGTTTTGTTCCGCAAGGTTCTTTGTTTCTTGTGTGTCTTAGCACCAGCCCGAACTGCCAGAACGTGATGCGATATGCACAAGAAGGTTGGTTTTCTGTATCGCAAGATGGTCATGAACTTGATCGTCGCCATGAACTTCAGACCCGACGGGGTAAGCTGAAACGCGGGTGCTGTGGCGATGGTCTCAGCGGCATCCACCTCGAGCGGACAAACAACAATTTGTGATGCCCTCTTTACCTCTCCTGCATGCCTCTGCAGACGCACCGGCAGCTACAATAGAGGCCTCCCAGATGGGGTCCGAGAAGATGGGGTCGGAGGATCGCGCCACATCGTCGATGCATCGACGATACATCGGCGATGTCGGCCTGGAGAAAATCGGCTCCCGCACCGAGCTGTATCAACGATGCGCCGGCGATGCGGCGCCATCTATCGACACCATCTACTCGCACCCCACCTGGGAAGTCTGGCTGCCAGGACCTGGGCCTGTCTCCGGCACGTCCCGAACGGCTTCGCGCTCCGAGGGCGTGTCAGCCGTCCACAGCCCTGCCGTGGCCGCGGCCGCAGCTTGGACTCCTCCTCCTCCTCCTCCTCCTCCTCCTCCTCCTCCTCCTCCTCCTACTCCTCCTCCTCCTCCTCCTCCTCCTCCTCCTCCTCCTCCTCCTCCTCCTCCTCCTCCTCCTCCCCCTCCCCCTCCTCCTCCTCCCCCTCCTCCTCCCCTCCTCCTCCGCCTCCTCCTCCTCCTCCTCCCCCTCCTCCTCCTCCTCCCAAGGCGCAGCCGACCAAGAAGTGCCCACCTCTCCCGCAACGTCCCGCAGCCCACGCACGAGCGCGCGCGGCGCGCGTCGGTGGCCCACGCCAGCGGGGATGCACTGCACCGGTGAGGGCCTTCGACGGCGGCAGCCGGCCCCGCGGGCACCCGCGTCCACCTGTCCCGCGTAGCCCTGGCCTTACGTCGGGCGTGTCCTCCTACAGGGGGCTTTTGGACGAAAGGATGAAACATGTATTCCACAATTATACAAAAATATTCAAAAACAGTCAACAAATCGTCCCCAGACTATTCTTAGACTATTTTTGAATGTCCCTCCTGAAGAGAAACAGGCCAGACATAACCCTGGCCGTGGGGCTGCGAGTTGCCGCAGCGCTTGGCCTCCGCCGTCGCCCCTTGTCGCTGGGGCGGCGGACGATCCTCTCCCTGTCTTTGACATGCATCCACCGTGAATGGCCCAGCCAGGATGGGCAGACTGTGGGCAGCTCGACTGTGACCACTTTCCCGATCGGATGGTGGCACGATCCCCTCCCTGTCCTCTCGAAGACGGAAGAGTTCGTTCTTCACTCAAGACTCCGTTCAAGCCCTGGCACCTTGCTGCCCTCAAGTGCTGCCCGCTGCCGCGGTCCTGGCCCGAGCAGCCGTTCACCCCTGCCCCCTCGAAGACGGAAGAGTTTGTTTTTCATTCAAGCCTCCATTCAAGCCCTGGCGACTGGCTGCCATCTAGTGCTGCCCGCTGCCGCGGTCCTGGTCCGAGCGGCCGTTCACCAGGCACACGCCATGCACTGCTGCTCCAGCTGGCCGACGGGGCCCGATGACAGGGAACGGCTCGAGCCAACACAATCGAAACTGTTCGTGAGGATGCGCGATCATCACGGAGGCCCCTTGGACGCCCCTGTTGCATCTTTGTCGAGCCCAGCGGGCCATCGAAGTAGTCAAGGGTACCCCTGGGAGGGTTGCCCATCCTTGCCATCGGCTTCGACTGGATGGCAAAAGTAAAAAGCCGAACTCTATACCCCGTCGCTTCTTCCAACCCCGCACTTAAATCCGCACAGGAAAACGGATCCTGGTGTTTACGGGATCCTGGTGTATACCTTTCCGTTGTTCCTCCTGGAGAAGGGGGGGCAATGTCCTCCTCAGTCCTCAAGAAGTTCTGGGATTGAGAAACAGCCCGCCAGTTAGATGTTCATTCTGGGGACCTTCCCAGAGCTACTTGCTCCACTCGTGCGTCGAAGCTGCGTCGAACGTCCGTCGACTGGAGTCGAGCTTGAGTCGAACCTGCGTCGAACCTGAATCGAACCTGAGTCGACCTTGAGTCGACCTTGAGTCGAACTGGGATCGAACGAGAGTCGAACAGATCCGCTGGGTGGACGCCAGGAGGGTCCCCCAAAACGAGCACCTGACGCCAGTGGCACATGTGTATGCACCAATTTCCGAAGAGAAGCCGCGCAGACAGAGACACCTGGAGAGCAGCGCAGCCCTCGCGGATCGGCGCCAGCGGCTTCCTCCGTCACTGGCGCGCGGAGCGCGCGGAGGTCACCGATTTCTCTGGGCCCAATGCTGGCCCAGAGAAGTCGGTGACCTCCGGAGACTTCTGATCACGCCGCTTTCGGCTCCTCGAGGGGGGGGGGAAGGAGGCGCAGGAGGAGGAGGAGGAGCAGGAGGAGGAGGAGGAGGAGGAGGAAGAGGAGAAGCAGACGGAGGAGGGGCAGGAGGAGGACGGGATAACACCCCGCCACTGGGTCCTCCTTGCTCTTGCCAGCCTTCATCAGCTTGCTGGCGATGCCCAAGTCCTGCGGGGAGTGCCCCCCCGGAACATGCGTGGACATGTACGTGACAGGAATTTGCGCCTCAGAGGCTTGCGAGGACCCGACTCTCGTCGCGCAGCGAAGCAACGCAGTGTTGTTGTTGAGCTGTCGCTCCAGGAGAATGTTCTTCTTGCTTCCGCCCTGTCCGGCGCACATTGTCTTCTGCAATTGTGAAAGGGGCCCAAGGACACACAAATAAATACACACAAATAGCCAGATTCCCAATATTTTCATATATTTTCTGGGTTTCTCTCTTCTTCCCCCACTTCCCATATTTTCTCATATTTTTGGGGAATCGACGGTCAATTGTGTCTGTGTTTTTTTCCCCCTCCTGAAATTAAATTGCCCCCTCCGCGGCTCGCACCCTGTTTTTGACTAGGGGAAGTCTCGAGGCTCAGAATGCTTTTCTTCGCCTCCACGACGAGGGCTCCCGCCTGATCCATGCTCACAGCTTATTCTAGGATCGCGCTCGCTCTGGAGACCTCCTTGCAAGTTGCTCAGGAATCGAGCCCTCGGCTAGGGCTTCTGCGCAGTTCGCTCAGGCGCAACGCCCTCGACGTGAAGGAATCGCACTCTCGCGCAACCTGCCTCATCACTTATCACTCGTCTGACCTGGCAGACGTGCTGCAGCGGATTTTTGCGTGGATTTGTGCCACTGCCAAACTCCGAAATGGCGAGTGAAAAACGAAGTGAATTTCGTGTAGATTTCTCTTGGTCCTCATTCCTGGCCCAACAAATCCGCACGACATTCACTTCGAAATTCGGAGCGACATTCTCCAGGACTCTCCAGGCCCACCCTATTGTTTTCCGAGCGAGATCCGCTCTGCAATGTTGGCGCCATGAAACCAGGCATCGCTCGGACGTCCATTCCCCGTGCATTTGTTGGTTTCGTGCGCGTTTTTTTGCTCGATGGTCCTGGATGGTCCTCGATGGTTCTCGCGAGCGATGCCCGGTGAATCGTGCTCTCGCCTGAAGCTTCTCTGTAACCTGCGAAGCTCGCTTCCGTCCAGCCGCCCGCCGGACCAGGGACAGAAGAACAGCCTTCAAGAATTTGCGACTCTCCGCTGGCCAACCTGAAGTCAGGGGCTCAGGGGCGCGCAAACATGGATCGGATTAGCGATCCATGGATTTGGCGCGCGGTCGCCAAATCCATGGATCGGGGGAGGTGCCCTTCCCAAAATGCGGCTGGTGCCGCCTCGCTCGGCGGCGGTAATCCGCGACTTCCCACGGAAACGGGACCCGTCGCTAATCCACGCCCCCTTGATCCATGTTTGCGATCGCCTGACAAGCTGAAGAGCATGCGAGGGCAGCCTCCCCCAGGATGCGTAACAGCATCCAACAGACACGAAGACCACTGGGGTGTCCTCCCCGAACCGACCTCGATCTTCTACCTCCGCTGGCCAGGCCGACGAGCATGCGAGGGCAGCCTCATCCAGGATGCATCATAACATCCAACGAACACGAAGAGCACTGGGGAGCAGGAGGAGAAGCAGGAGGAGGAGCAGGAGCAGGAGAAGGAGGAGGAGGAGGAGCAGGAGGAGGAGGAGGAGGAGGAGGAGGAGGGAGGAGGAGGAGGAGGGAGGAGGAGGGAGGAGGAGAGGAGGAGGAGAGGAGGAGGAGGAGGAGGAGGGGGGGAGGAGGAGGGGAGGAGGAGGAGGAGGAGGAGGGAGGAGGGAGGAGGAGGGATGAGGGAGGAGGACCCTCCCCGACCCGACCTCGAGCTTCTGTCTCTGCCCGACCCGCCCCCTGCCCTGCCCGACCCGCCCCGGACTCCGCCCGTCCCCGGCCCGCCCGCTCGACCGTCGTCGTCGTCGGCGTCGCCGTCGTCGTCGTCGTCGTCGTCGCGTCGTCGTCGTCGTCGGCGTCGTCGTCGTCGTCGACGTCGTCGTCGTCGGCGTCGGCGTCGTCGTCGTCGGCGTCGTCGTCGTCGTCGGCGTCGTCGTCGTCGTCGTCGCCGACGTCGTCGTCGCCGTCGTCGTCGTCGTCGTCGTCGTCGTCGTCGGCGTCGTCGTCGTCGTCGTCGTCGGCGTCGTCGTCGTCGTCGTCGTCGTCGTCGTCTCCTCCCTGCTCCCTGCTGCCTCCTCCTTTCGTTTGCTCGGAGGCCTGCCCGCTCGCTCTGACGTCCCGCCCGCCCGACCCGCCCATGACAGCCAACCCGTAAAATGAGGGCGCGCGACGAGTCTGCGAGGGCCTCGGAGGGCCATGCCGACACTCTGCGAGCGGGGCGCGGTCAGCGAAAGCGGCCAAGGATGGGCCGAAGGGGAAGGATGCAACGGTGAGCCTTGGACAATCGCTCATCCTTGCTATGCGGGTTGGCTGTAGGGTCCGCCCGCCCGACCCGCCCGGTGGGTCCGCCAGCCGACCGTTATGGTCCGCCTGGCAATCCTCGTGTTTCTCTTGCCTCCCCCTCCTGCTGAGTCCTTTTCGTTCTTGCCCCCCTCCCCTCTCGCTGCCTCCTTCCTGCCTCGCTCTGCCTCATCATCATTTTTGAGGGGCCGCGTCAACCACACGTGATATGCAAGGTAGATGCACCCCCTCAAAAGAGATGCGACCGAATACGAAGGGGGCGGGTATCGAGGGCTTGGCGGATATACATGTGGAGTGACACGCGAACAACAAAGAACGACTGATCTTCGAAACTATGATTGTGGCTTTTGCAATTCTCGGCATCTGCAAGAAGTTTCGGACCCCAAAGCCGCAAATCAACGACTCGGGATACAACCGGGGCATGGGTTGAGACCTCCTAGCGTTTACGCTGCGAAGCAATCGCGGCACTGGGTGGTGGGGGGGGTCTGGGGACCCCCCCTGACATCTGGGTGTCGTGTCGTGAAGAACGCCACGGGCTTTCCCGCCCAATCTCGGGACCCTAAACCCTCACGGGTCCGCTTCGACTCGAGACGTTCGGCAGGAGAACGGGGTCGGGCGTCCTGACAGCGATGCTACGCGAAGTCGTGCTTGCTTTTGCACGACGTCGGGCATCTGCGGCCCTGGTTAAGGAACAGATGAGCCAAAACACCTGGGCCAGCCCGTGGGCAGGGGTCCGTGAGGCGCCGAGCTGGAGTTCGAAGGAGCATCTCCTCGACTAGAGAGTCGGAAACCGAGCTGACGCTCCCACATGCTGATTGCAAGACGCTGCGCAAAAGACACACACATGTCAGCACTTCTGATCGCTTGGCTACCATGAGCCAACTTTTTGGCAATATCTTGTATACACAGTGGGCCGAGGTTGCTTCTGCAGCATCTGTGGGATGGCGTGTGAATATCTAGATCTCTCTCTACATATCTAAATATTGAATGTGTAGACATGTAGACATATCGGAGGTGAGGGGGTGAGACCGAAGTGGAACGGAGAGCCCCCTACCGGGAAATCGATTTCGGTTTCGTGTTCGTGCGTGCCGTGCGCGCGGGCGAGGCGAAGCTGCGTGGGCGGGCGAGAGGAAAGTCTCCTGTGGCTGAGGCGCGGCCGGACCAAATGTGTCTCTTCCGGGCGGCCGGTGGCGCGCGGTGTCCCGCCGGTGTCCCGCTGGTGTCCCGTCGGTGTCCGTGTGGCTGAGGTGCGGCCGGACCAAATGTGTCTCTTCCGGGCGGACGGTGGCGCGCGGTGTTCCGCCGGTGTCCCGCTGGTGTCCCGTCGGTGTCCCTGTGGCTGAGGCGCGGCCGGACCAAATGTGTCTCTTCCGGGCGGCCGGTGGCGCGCGGTGTCCCGCCGGTGTCCCGCTGGTGTCCCGTCGGTGTCCCGTCGGTGTCCCGATGATGATGTGGATGATGATGATGATGATGATGATGGATGATGATGATGATGGTGATGATGGCGATGATGATGATGATGATGATGATGATGATGATGATGATGATGATGATGATGATGATGATGATGTTGGTGTTGTTGATGATGATGATGACGTCGATTGTGAGATCGATTGTGACATCGATAGTGAGACCGAATGTGAGATCGATTGTGAGATCGATAATTGTGAGATCGATAGTCAGATCGATTGTGAGATGATGATGGTGATGAGGGTGATGATGGTAATGATGGTGATGATGGTGATGATGGTGATGATGATGATGATGACGATGATGATGATGATGTTGATGATGATGATGATGATGATGATGATGATGATGATGATGATGGCGTCGATTGTGAGATCGATTGGGAGTTCGACGGTAGATCGATAATCAGATCGATTGTGCGATGCTGATGGTGATGATGGTGTGATGATTGTGATGATGATGGCCATGATGGTGATGATGATTGTGATGATGATGGTGTGATGATTGTGATGGGGACGTTGGTTCCCCCTCCCCCCTCACCTCCTTATCACCCGCAGGGTGGTCGTATAGGTAGTACACCTATATAATCATACGCAAGTGCCGAAACTTAAAACAACCTCACGCAAAGTACTGGCGGGGCGATGCGTCAGAATGAACAGGCGACGGGTCTCCGTCACCATCGGCGCAGCTGTACTCAATTGCCCTTATTCTTTCCAACCAATGCTTGTGCTACATGCCGACCCTTTGCTCTGAGATTGGGGGCCTTAATATGAGAAAGGTCTGTGGAGTCAGGTTCTCAACCTCTCCTGTGTCGCGCCATTGCAGACCCAAGAGACGAACTCCGCGTAGTGCACGAGCCCGTCGGAGTCGACGTCGGCCGCCCTGAACAACTTGCGGACGGTCGAGGCCGTAAACAGCTTAGAGTCCTCGGAGGCTCTGCTAGTCCTCCTCCTCCCCCTCCTGCACCACAGTCTCCGAGCACTGCTTGCACTTAGGGATTCTTGCTTGTTTTCGACGGAGCGGGGCTCGTTCGATGGGTCCGCCGCCTTGTTGCCGCCGTCGCCGCCCCGTCGCGACCTCGTCGCCGCCCGTCGTCTGGGCTCGTTCGTCGAGTCCGCCGCCTTGCTGCCGCCATCGCCGCCCCGTGACCGCCTCGTCGCCGACCGTCGCCTGGGCTGGTCTGTCGGGTCCGCCGCCTTGTTGCCGCCGTCGCCGCCCCGCCGCCGCCTCGTCGCTGCAACGAGCTATGCACCACATTGATTGCACCACATAGCGTGCACAGCATCGATTGCACAGCATGTGTTTCACAACACATACTGCATAGCATCGATTGCGCAACACATCGGTAACTCCACATACATTGTCAACATCGGGTGCGCACCGCATATACTGCACCACATATATTGCTCCACATAGATTGCACTACATATAGTGCTCCATATCGGTTGCGCAACATAGGTTGCACAATCTATATTGCAACATACAGGCTGCGCAGCATACATTGCGCCACTTAGATTGCACAACCTATATTGTACCACATGTATTGGACCACATCGATTGCACCACACATATTGCACATCATATATTGCTCAACATCTAATGCGCAACATGTCTCGGGCACCGTGCCGCTGGGCACGGAGTGGGCATGCCCTCGAGTCCTTCGCCTGAACCCTTGAGCACTCCCGAGAAGAGACCGGGAATCCAACCTACCAAATCTTCTTGGTCTTGCCGCGTGCCTGGGCCTGGTCGCTTCTTCTTGCGCGACTTTTCCCCAAGGCGGGCCAAGCGGGCCCCAGCAGTAGGCCCCCGAGACGGCCCCAGAACGCCGCGAGATGTTGAAAGATCGCTCCAAGAAGTCCCTGATGGCCTGAAGATGGCCCAAGAGGCCTCCAAGACGCCCCCAAAGGCCTTCAAGAGGTCTCCCAAGAGGTCCCCAAGAGACAGACATCATTGATCTCCCTTAGGTTTTTGAAGGACTTTGGCGTTCTCGCCTGTTCTGCTTTCCGACGCTGCAAGACGGCCTAAGGAGGCCCCCAAGACCACCCCAAGAGGCCTCCAAGAGAGCCCCACGACGGCCTACGGGCGCCCCAAGACGGCAACAGAGGCGCCCAAGCCGGCCCAAGAGGCCCCCAAAACAGCCCCAAAAAGGGGCGCCCAAGAGAGCCCAAGAGGCTTCAAAACTGCCTCTAAGAGGTCCCCGAGAAGCCCCCCGCGAGATCCCAACGAACATCCAATAGGCTTCATACCCACAGCCCAGGCACGGTGGCGGGATGGGCCGAAGGCTATTACACACACCATCTCTCTCATTATATATATATATATAAATGTTGGTGTGTGCCTGTATATATATATATATATATATATATGTATATAGGTGATATATATAAGTATATATGTATTGTACCACCTAGATTGCCACTCACATAACTTGCACCACATATACTGCACAACACAGATTGTACCACCTACTTCATTACATGGATTGTTTCAAATCGATTGCCCAGCATAAAATATACCGCATCTGTTGCACATACACAGATTGCACTGCGTACATTGCCGGGGTCCAAGCTGGCTATACCTCGTTTTTGTCTCTTCCTTAGAGCCGGGTGCGGGTCTTGCCACGCCCCTCACTGCCGGTGGCCTTCCGGGGTGGAATGACGCCCAAGTCGCTACAGCGTCCACTCCGTGGGGAGCGCCTCTGCGTGCCCTGTCTGCCCTGCACGCAGCAAGCGCTCGAGATCGTCGATCTGACAGGCCGCGTTCCCCTCCCGAGGCCCCCGCCGGATCCTCCAGGGGCCGTGGGCTCGGTCGCCGAAGGAGAACTGCCGAGAGCCCGGAGCCGCTGAGACCTCCACTCGGAGCTCCCGGAGACCTCCTCCCCACCACGCCCTCCGAGCCCGCCCTCCGAGTGCCCAGCCCCCCGTCGCCCTGGCCTCTGCTTCGGCACGCGGGCTCCATATGAGCTCTCGGCGCCGTTCCGTCGCGTCGGCTCCGCGCCGCGGGCTGCTTCCGTTTTTTTTTTTCTCTGCTTGGGGGGGGAGGCGGGTCGCGGGGCTCTGGGGGCGGGCCTCTGGGGGCCCAGGCTCAGACACAATGGGCACTCCACCGACGCCGAGTGCCCCGGCCCCCCGCCCGTCCCAGCTGTTCCCTGAGACAGCTTGCCCGCAAAGGCTCTCGGGCTCGGACCCAGACTCGGACCTGCAGGGTGCACGCCGGCGGGAGCGCTGCAGGCGGGCGCCGTGGCGCGGGGGTGTGGCACGCGAGCGACGGCGGTCTCTGCGCCGGTCGGCGGCGGCATCCCACTGCGGTGCTGCGGGGGAGGGGAACTTGCCATCGCTCGGACGTCCATTCCCCGTGTGTGTATATATATATATATACATATATTCTACCAGGTGATCCAGGATGCTCCTAGATGGTGGTCCTCGCCGCGAAAAATGCACACGTCCGAGCGGTGCCATGGGGAGAGGGCGCACGAGGGGGCGATAGAGAGGGACGCACGACCAGCGAGGACGAGAGCGGCCAGCGAGGGAGCCCAGGCCCCCGCCTGCCATCGCTCGGACGTCCATTCTCCCCGTGCATTCGTCGGTTTTGTGTGTTTCTTCGACTTTTTGGTCGCGGCCGCGGGCGAAAGCGCACACGGCGTGTCGTAAGACCGGGGCGCGGGCCTCCTAATTGACAACAGCAACCTCGAGCCGACACCTAAACAGCCTAAGCAGACTAAGCGGCGCCTCACGCGAGCTGCAAGCTGTGCTGAGCGTGCTTTTTCGACCGAAGACACAAGATCTTTCCGACAGAGGGCCCCGCCGAGAAAAAATACACGCGTCCGAGCGATGGCGAGCCCGAACTCGGCGGCACGTCGAGGAGGAGGAGGAGGAGGAGGAGGAGGAGGAGGAGGAGGAGGAGGAGGAGGAGGAGCCTTCTGCCGCAGGGGTGCTCTTCTGCCCGCACGCGGGCTCCACGAGCCCCGGCCCCCGCTCGCGGCGGGGGGGGGGTGTCCGCGGGGCCACGGCCTGGCCCCGGGGGGCCCAGGCGCGAACGCACTGGCCGCCCTGCCTCTCCTCGCGCTGCGCTGCTTCTCCAGCCGCCCCGCCTCGCCTCCTCCGGCCCTTTCAGCCCTCCTCTCCCGCCTCCTCCTCCTCCTCCTCCTCCTCCTCCTCTTCCTCCTCCTCCTCCTCCTCCTCTTCTGCTTCCTCTTCTTCTTCTTCTGCTTCTTCCTCCTCCTCCCTCTCTTCCTCCCTCCGCCTCCCTGTTCTCCCTCCTCTCCAACTCTTGCCACCTTCCCTCCTCTTCCCTGCTCCCTCTCCTCCCTCCCCCTCCACCTTCCTCCTCGTCCTCCTCCTCCTCCTCCTCTTTCTCCTCCTCCTACTCCGGCTCGGGGTCCAGGCCGCTGAGCACATCGATCATCTCCGATTCGTCCTCAGAGGCCCCCCTCCCCAAAGCCAGGGTGTGGATGAGGGAAACGAGTAAGATGAGGTGAAGAGGCAGAGGAAGGGGAGGATCAGCAAAACGTGGAATATGAGAAGCAGGACGAAGAGGGAGAGGAGGAGGAGGAGGAGGAGGAGGAGGAGGAGGAGGAGGAGGTGGAGGAGGAGAAGAAGGAGGAGGGAAGAAGACCGTGCAAATGCTGGACTTGCAAGACGCTGGGGTGCTCGGCTCTGCATCGAGAATCGCATTGTGAAGACGAGCTAGCCTCCATCCGTGCAGCTGCCGGAAGACAACATGCGCCCTGCGCTTAAACGAACGCCACATTTTGGAAGCCGCCGGCCCTACATCCCTGTAGATGTTGCAGCTGTTCAGCCTCAGGGTGGTGCATCGCACAGAAGTCTCAAGCGACATGCCATGCCCAGCCTACGCGCACATCTGATGGTGCAACAGGGGGGGGTTGTCTATAGGGACGAGGGCTGGAGAAACAGGAGGGGCAGGACTGATTAGAAGGACCAGGGCAAACACAGTACAGTGCGGGCGCGGCCGCAAATAACCCTCGCAGGAAACCCAACCCTGAAAACCCGTGCGCGAAGTATGCCTGAGGGGAAGCCCGGAGCACCCTGAACGCAGCAACTCCTTCAACGGCTGCGGGAAGTCACCGCGCAGCGCGAGGAGCGACGAAACCCAGGATACCCTGACGAGAAGCATGTGGTTTCTTGATGCGCGCCCCCACTGTGTGCATCAACGATGCTGCAGCCCGCCCTCCCGAACCCCGAGGCCTGTCCTCAGGAGTCCACGCGAGCTTCCCCTCTCAGCGCAAGAAGCGCCCCGCGGGCCTGCCATGCACGCGAACACCTCGTGTTAGGCTGCTCCCATCGTGCTTGAGGACCATATCCCAGTAATCATCTCGAGCGCCCAGAAAGGCACCGAAACGGTGTCGAACGAGTATCGCCTCCCAGTCGGGTGTTGCTAGAAGTGCCCCTGGCCCACGGTGCCCCCAGGATTCTCGGGGTGGCCCAGACGGCCTCCAGAGCAACCCGAACGAGGCCCAAAGGGCCCCAGGGGCCCAAACATAGAGCGAACAGCTGGGGCTACTTTGGGCCAGGGGCACTTCTAGCAACGCTTGACCCAGGGCCCGACACGCGAAAACCCTCCAATGTCGAGGCTTTCTTGGTGCTCGGAATTCTTTCTGGTGGCCTCGTGTTGGAAAGGGGTTGCCTGCCATCGTTCTAGCGAGCTATCCTGAAAACGAAGTAGGATCAGAAAGCGCAGCGACGCGTCCAACGAGAACCCCGCTCTGCAAATTAACCGCCCCCCCATCCGTATGACTGCTGCGCAAACTGACACCAGTGGCCACCAAGTTCGAGGAGGTGATATATATATATATATATAAATATGTACATATGTATATATATATATATATATAGAGAGAGAGAGAGAGAGAGAGAGAGAGAGAGAGAGAGAGAGAGAGAGAAAGAGAGAGAGAGAGAGAGAAAAAAGAGAGAGAGAGAGAGAGAGAGAAACAACATAAAGAGAGAGAGAGAGAGAGAGAAAATGAGAGAGAGAGAGGGAGAGAGAGAGAAATAGAGAGATATAGAGAGAGAAATAAACAAACGAACGAGAGAAAGCGAGAGAGAGAGAGAGAACAGCACATCGTTCCAAGAAAAAATCGCCCTCCATCCGTGTGGCCGTTGCACCAGTTGAGCCCACTGGTCGTGAAACCCGAGAGGGTCCCGAGCGAGAGCTGGACTCGGCCCGGCAGCCGCCCTCCGTCCCCGCAGCCTCTTTTGAGCCTCTGCAAACGGCTGTGCGCGGCGCTAGACATCACCAGAATGATCTCGTCGGCCCCGGCACTAAAGTGAGCACCGGATCCTTGACTATTCCCAGCAACCGCTTGCCTCCGGAACGACTCACTTCCCGCTCTGGCCCTGGCGTCTTTCGGAACTCTCGCGCCACATGGTCTTTCTTGGCATTCAGCCCTATGACCATGTGACTGGGGCGAGAGCCCCATTTGGGAGACGACTCCCTTTCCTTGCCATCGCTCGGCCGTCCAATCCTGGTGCAATTTTGTCGGTGTCGTGCGGGAGTTTTCGTGCGATGATCCAGGACTGTTGCTATCAAACGATGTGTGACGATGGTGTCGATCGCTCTGTTTTGCGACTAGCGCAAATGCAGCCCGAGCCAGTACTGTTTGAGCACTGCCTGCTCTCCGGAGGGCTCGGTGATACAATATGGATGGCGCCGCTGAGGCGCTCTTCGAGCAAGCAGTGGCGACAGGTTCATGCCGCAGTGCTTGGGGGGGGGGGTAAACAAAAACGTCTTTCTCTTTGCGGGGATGGGGGGGGGGGGTCGACAAGAAGGGGCGGGAAACGCAAAACTGGCGCCCTCCTTGAAAATCGCATGGAGCAGCGGCTACTGCAGCGGAAGACCTGCCGCGACTCGCAGCGAGAGCCTGGCCACGTCCATCTCCATGGATGCCTGGCACCCTCTCGCTGAAAACCACACGTGTCTGAAGTGATGCGGTGCCCATCCGCGCGCCTTCAAATCCGCGACCAATCGCGCAGAATGGTGGATCACCTGATCTAGGCACATGCCTACCTCCCTCCATCGGGCCACTCGGGACAGCACGTGCGCTCGGAGGGCACTCGGGCTGGAGGCCCACGCCGGTGCCGTGGAGAATGCCTTTGGGAACAAGTCGATCATCAACGAGTCAAGGTCCACTGTCAAGTCCAGCCACTTTAGCCGCCGGCTGCGCGGCGAAAGTTCGAATGGCACATCGTGCATGCACTTGAGGGCGTCCTCCAAGCATGTGCGGCACAAGACGCGGGACAACATGATCATATCGTCAACGTACCGCGAACACGCCGCAGCATCCGACCAGCGCCACCCCGGAGGCACGAAGCACTGTGCCTGGAGGTGCGCGTCGTCCTCGTCCCACTCGGTTTCCCAGCGGCACAATATCAGTGAACAACGCACCTTGCGCATGAATCCACCGATGGGTACACCGGTGAACTCCGCGACAACGTCTCCGACGCTGACAAAGGTCATCCGCGCGAACGCCGCCAGGCACAGGGCGAGCTCCATGAAAGCGAAAGTCTTCAGGTCGTGGCGAGGATTATCAAGCCTCCCTCCGAGAAATGCACGACGACGCATGCTGCGGGACACCGTGACCCGGTCTGGGGCCCCTGAGTGAGCGGCGCGGCGAAACAAAGCGGCAGCAGCATCAGCATCAGATGCGCGGACACTCTCGAAAAACTGTCCGGCGTCAGCCACAACTCCCTCGACCGGCAGCTTCCGCGAGCCGCGCCTGAAACATGTGCAGCCGGACCCATTTGGATGGGCTCTCAGCTTGGCGATGCCATCTCGCAGAGTCGGCGCCGCATCCCGCAGTCGCCATACTTCAAAGCCAGGGGAGAATCGCTTCAGCAAGGTCTCGTACGACCGCGACAGGAGCTGCCAGTTCCGCCTTTTCGGCCACGAGGCGAAGCTCACGATCTTGCGGCAACAGCTGTGGGCGGCCCTCGCGCACGAATGGACCCTCGGCGGCATGCCATCAAAGCATTTTTCTTTAATTGTGTTGTACATGTGCGGGCAGCCTCGGGGTATCCGCACTGATCCCCAGGAATGCATGGAGTCGATGTGGGACCAGTTCGGCCAAAGTCATTTGTAACATCTTGTTCGCCGCAGCCTTGCTGATGTATGTGATTTTCCAGGATCTGCTGTTTTCCACATAATGGAACAGATTAGCCACAAAGCATCTGCGCGGAACTAACCATGCAACTTTCTTGTCTTTGTCATCTAAGCAAATGTGCGTGTCTCTCGGTGTATCCTGCTGCTCGCGGGTGTGGGCAATGTACTGCGAGGCTGACGTGCTCCACTCGAAGATCTGCCGGCACGGTCGTCCGCGAAACGGCCGGCAGGCCATGCATGCGCGGCATGGCCGGCGCAAACTCGCCCGCGCCATCGTCGGACATGGCGGAGCGCTAGGCGACGGGCATCAGCAGCAAGAACATGTAACGGGAGACGGACTGGCACATCCCAGCGTGCGCTGATTCGACGCATGCCGATGCCGCTGATCGCCTGAACGGCCCGCCTGTCAGACATGCAGTCGAAATCTGTTTTGCTAGCAAGCTTGGAGGCACGAGAAGCGTCCACGTAGTCGAGGTGCATGGGACGACGGCCTGCAACGACGCGGAGGTGCCCGGACATCCACGCCGATTCACTCGGCGAGCGTCTGCAATGACATACCGCGTCACGAATGCACTTGCGAACTGAAGGCGCTAAACAACGATATGGCACTTTGATGGTGCTGCCGCCGACTGGTGGGAGGCCGCGGTACCGGAGGGCCGCGTCGACGCGCCTCAGGGCACGCTGCCTGCGGAGCGGGCCGGTGACCAAGTCAATGACACTAGCTGCTGCCACTGGTCCACTCTGCACGCCCCAAGACAACTCCAGCCTCTCCCAATCAATCATCGCGCGGAGCGTCCCGAGGAAGAGAACGAAGAGGGGCCAGCAAGCAATAGAGTATATATCCACTGGCCCTGGCGATTGCATCACAACCTTCTGCCATGCGACATAAATGTGGGCAAAAGATTCCTGCCACCACTACTCATGCTGCCACTGCCCGCAATCGCGTGCCGAACGTGGAGGCCCACTCCGGTCATCATGGTCGCGTGGCGCAGGTGGAAGGGGCAGGCCACTGTCGAAGATGCCAGTCGAGAAGGGGTCCCCGTTCTTGGCGCGCGCTCCTGGCGGGGGTCTTCGGCGGGGCGGCCCTCCCCTGACAGAATGAATCCGCTTCAGCAGAAAAAGACGTCCCCCATTTGCGTTGCACGGGAGTGCGTGGATGCAAGCGGTTTCAATAACTCGCATCTGTGCGCTTGGACCCTCGCGGAGGCAGAGAAACGTCTGATGAAATGCATTGGCCCGCCGGGCCAGACGATAACGCAGCCTTCCTGATTCTGGCAGATGGCGACGAGCACGCCCGGTTCCGTGTTCCAGCCAACGGTGCAGAACTCCTCCATGACAACTTTGAGCTCGTGCACGCGTGTGCGAAGCAAGTCCAATGTACAGGAAGCCCCTGCCAACCCATGCGTAAACAGCGGATTCTGACCCCGGCGTCACGTCAGGAGCGAGGGCGTGCCATTGCAAGTTCACGAGAGACCTGAGAGCGCATTGAAGAAACGACGTGCCTCCCGCCTGCACGAGCCGCGCTGGATTGCCAAGTGCATCTCGGTAGTGCGGCGGCATGGTCTGTAGAACGGCGCGAGCTTGTTTGCAACAGCTTGCCTTCCGAATCCACAACAAACTCTTGCAGCAATTCAGGGCGCCCCACAACGGCTCAACGTCGGGGTCGTGCCTGCGGTACTTGTGCGATGACGGGAACATGTAGGCATCAACGGTAATCAATAGATCGCAAAAAGTCCGGAACACTGGCTGCGACACTCTCTGTTGCAGGAGCTCCTGTACCGTTACATCGAAAAGTGTCTTCATCAGCACTGGAGTGGCAGCATAACATCGCAAATCATGGTCTCGCCTGGCGCGGCCGGGCACGATGTTGACCTGCTCGGCGTCCTGCGCAGACATTCCCAGGAGCTGGACAGCTATGTCCTTCGCAACGCGGCTGACCACTGCCACAGACATCGCCACGGATACACAAGACTCCAAGTTGAACTGCCTGCTAGTATCGTACTAAATGTCTTCAAATGCACACTGTACCTGTGCGTGAGAATATGTATATCGTGTCACGTCGCACCCCGTTGCCAAAGCCGGAAGATGAAACGAAAAGAAAGGACTGTTACTATCAAGCGATGTGTGACGATGGTGTCGATCGCTCTGTTTTGCGACTAGCACAAATGCAGCCCGAGCCAGTACTGTTTGAGCACTGCCTGCTCTCCGGAGGGCTCGGTGATACAGTATGGATGGCGCCGCTGAGGCGCTCTTCGAGCAAGCAACGGCGACAGGTTCATGCTACAGTGCTTGGGGGGGGGTAAAAGAACGTCTTTCTCTTTGCGGGGATGGGGGGGGTCGACAAGAAGGGGCGGGAAACGCAGGGTGCTCCTCGATGGTTCTCGCCGATGATCCAGGGTGCTCCTCGATGGTTTTCGCAGAAAAAAAGATGCACACTTTCTAGCAACGCCGAATCCCACCTGCCCTCTGGGCGCAGGTGTTCTAGAGCGTTTCCTTTTCCAACCTCCTGCCTTTCCCTGCTCGGGAGGTTTACCTCCCCCCCTCCCTGCGTCTGGACGGGCCCCCCTGCGATGTGGCAGAAGGTCTTTTTACCTAACAGCTTTTGCTGATAGGTTTCTAGTGGTCTCAAAAGAGAGCAGCAGATGACTCCACAGGGGGCTCGGGGCGGGACCCGGGGCGGTGCCGCCGAAGTCCAAATCGCTTGGGACATCCTCGCAAAATCGCTCTTGGTGCTCCCAGAACTCAATTCCCGGGCCACATTTTGGATGCCCGGAGCCAACTGTAGGCCACTTCGTGCTCTTCGATTTCCCAGAACTCCACTCCCGGGCCACATTTTGGATGCCCGGAGCCAACTGTAGGCCACTTCGTGCTCTTCGATTTCCCAGAACTCCACTCCCGGGCCACATTTTGGATGCCCGGAGCAACTGTAGGCCCTTCTGCTTCTTCAAAGTTCTCAGATTCATTCCCTGTGGAATGATTTTGAATGCCTGGAGCCAACTGTAAACCCCTTCGTGTTCTTTCTGTTCCCAGAACTTTCAATTCATATGGGCCACATTTTGAATGCTGAGGCAAGCTGATGCTGCGACCGAGGCAGGCTGAGGCTGATGCAGGCTGAGGCTGAGGCCGAGGCTGAAGGCAGACTGAGGCTGAGGCTGAAGCAGACTGAGGCTGAGGCTGAGGCAGGCTGAGGCTGAGGCTGAGGCAGGCTGAGGCTGAGGCAGGCTGAGGCTGAGGCTGAGGCTGATGCAGGCTGATGCTGAGGCAGGCTGAGGCTGAGGCCGAGGCTGTAGGCAGACTGAGGCTGAGGCTGAAAGCAGGCTGAGGCTGAGGCTGAGGCAGGCTGAGGCTGAGGCTGAGGCAGGCTGAGGCTGAGGCTGTGACTGCGACTGCCGTTGCCACTGCGACTTTCATCGCGAATGCGACTGCGACTGAGCGGGAAGAAGTAACTGCGGAGAGGGGGCGGGGGCGGGGACTGGCGCCGGGGAGAACTGCGGAGACTGCGAGAACAGCAGAATTCGACAACTGGGTTTTCATCTGAATCTTAAGGGGAATGCTTTCAGATATGCTTCTACACATCGCTGTTAGGTTGCTTTGCCGGGATAGTTTGGTCCAAGATGGCTCCAAGAGGGCTTCAGAGAGCGCAAGATGGCCTCCAAGATGGTCGAATATAGCGGTCGATGGGTCAAGATAACCTCCGACACACGCCCAAGAGGCCTCAAGACGGCCCCAAGACGGTTTCAAGTGCCCTCTGAAGCATCCAAGGGCCCCCCAGGAGGCCAAAATCCTTCAAACACTTACGGAACAATCTATGTTTTTTGCCTTCTCGCTTTTTCGCCTCCGATGGGCTTCCTGACTGTCAGAATTGTGAGGGACGTCTCCGAGCGCGGGCGCGCCCTCTGCAGCGCTGCCAATTATCGCCGCGATGCTGTCGAGCGCGGTCGCGCCCTCTGCAGCGCTGCCAACTATCGCCGCGATGCTGTCTCCAGGAGGGGGGGCGTTCCTTTTGCAGCTGAAGGCCGCGCTGTCGGATGCATCTTCCTGATTGTCGGAACTGTAATGGACGTCTCCGAGCGCGGGCGCGCCCTCTGCAACACTGCCAACTATCGCCGCGATGCTGTCTCCAGGAGGGGGGCGTTCCTTTTGCAGCTGAAGGCCGCACTGTCGGATGCATCTTCCTGGCTGTCGGAATTGTGAGGAACGTATCCGAGCGCGGGCGCGCCCTCTGCAGCGCTGCCAACTACCGCTGCGATGCTGTCTCCAGGAGGGGGGGCGTTCCTGTTGCAGCTGAAGGCCGCACTTTCGGATATACCTTCCAGAAAATCGGAAATGTGAGGAACGTCTCCGAGCGCGGGCGCGCCCTCTGCAGCGTCCCCGATTGTCGCCGCGGCACTGTCTCCAGGAGGGGGCGCGCTTCGGGTCGCATCTCCTGCCTCCACGACGACACTGCCCAAGGGGCGCTGATAGGAGTGAGGGGCACTAGTGGGGTTCGCCTGCCTACCACCAGGAAGGGGGGGAGCCGGCGTGCTGCGGCTGACGGCGCCTTGTTCGGACTGGCCAGTGGGCTGGCCGCTGGGGTGGCCATGGGCCGCGGGGCAGGCCGGCGGGCACGCCGCGCGCCGCCGGGACGGCGCCGGCCAACGCGCCAACCGCTGCCGCCGCCGCCGGCGAGGAGCCGGCAGCGGCGGCGGTGGCGGCGGCAACAGCGGCCGCAGCGGCAGCGGCCACCGCGCTGACCACGGGGCCGCTGGCCGCCGCCGCCGCCGCCGGAGGGGAGCCGGCGGCCTTGCGGCAATCGCCGGCTGCGGCGGCGGCAGGTGCCGCGGCAAGCGGCGGCCGGCCGCACCGCGGCGGCCGCGGGGGTGCGGCGGCGCGGCGCGCCACCACCGCGCGCGCCGCCGCCCCGCCGCCAGCGGAAAACGGCATCCGGCGGCCGCACGGTAAGCGTCAACGGGCCGCCGCGAAAGGCAGCGGCGACCCGCCCACGGCGGCCGCCGGCCGCCGCCGCCGCCGGAGGGGCCAGCGGCGGCGGCCCGCGGCGGTGGCGGCGGCCGCGCCCTCCGGGGGCGGCGCCGGCCCGCCGCGGCAGGGGGCTGCGGGGGCGCGCGGGGGCCCGGCCAGCAAGTCCGCGCCGGCGCCGACGACCGGCACCGGCGCCGGCAGCGGCCCCGGGCCCCGTGGGGGCCGTGCAAGGGGCGGGCCGCGGCGCCGAGGGCAGCGGCCGGCCGCCCGGCGGGGAGCGGCGCCCGGCCGCGGCGCCGCGGCACGGCCGGGCCAGCCAGCGGCCGCGGCGGCCCGGCGCCAGCCGCGGGCGGCCAAGGGGCCCGGCGCAGCCTCCGCCGGGCCGCGGGCCGCGGCCGCGGCGGGCCAGCCAGGGGGTGGCGTCGGCGGCCAGCCAGGGGGCGGCGCCAGCGCTGGCGCCGGAGCGGCGCGGGCGGCGGCCGCGGCGTCCAGGGCGCGGGCGGCAGCGGAGCCAGCGGCAAGAGCGGCAGCAGCCCGGCGCTGCTGCCGCCGCCGCCGCGCCGCAGGCCCCTCGCCGCGAGCAGCGCACCGGGAGAGGGAGGGCCAGGAGGGGGCACCCCTTCCGCCCCCCCCAGCCAGGCAACGCCGGAGGTCGGGGCCGACCTCCAGCCCCGCGGCAGCGGCCGCTGCGGCCACCGTGCGCCAAGGCTTGAGCCAAAGGAGCTTGAGCCAAGGGAGCTTGAACCGAGGATGAAATCTTGAGGTTCATCCTTATGACTGTCTCAGCCGTGAATCGGTAATCTACTGACCTGGGTCAACTCAAACCCGGGTCAGTCGGGCTTTGCAAGATGCTGCAGGATTGTGCACGCAAGCCGGGGTCAATGTCCCCCTCGCTCTGCAGGATCCTGCAAGATCTGGCGCTCTGGCTGGCCCCCGTTTGCATCGACCCCCGTCCCTTGAGCCCCGAGATATCACGAATGTGCGCTCCACACTGGCGAGAGCTCCATTTCGACCCCTCGTTCATCCTCGCAACTGCTACAAGCTTTTCCGTCGAATGTGCGCGGCGCGCGCGTTTAGCTGTTACAAGTGTTCAGCCGCAGTGCCATCAATAGTGATGGGGGTCTCAAGCGAAACGGCCGGTCCTGCCTACCGACACGTCAAAGGGTGCGACAGTTAAGTCGGACGTGTCCCTCAGCAGGAAGAGAATTATCCCGACAAAGCAACCTAACAGCGATGTGTAGAATCATAGCTGGAAACATTGCCTGTGGTATTCATGTAAGAGTGCTGTTGTAGAATTCTGGTGTTCTCGCAGTCGCATTCGGATTCGCAGTGGCAGTCGCAGTGGCAACATCAGCGGCAGTCGCAGTGGCACTGCCAGTAGTTGCAGTAACAATAGCTACACTAGCAGCAGCAACAGCAGCAGCAGCACTAATAGTAACAGTAGTAGTAGCAGTAGAAGTAGTAGTGATGGTAGTAGTGGTAACAGTGAAGTAGTAGTTGTAGTGTGTGGAGTGAACGAGTAGGAGTGATGGGAGCAGTGGTAGTAGCAGTAGAAACACTGCTTTCGATAACGGTATCTCCAAATGAGATCTTTGTATAAATGCATTTAGGTCTGAAAACAGACACTGCTATCAACGGATGTGATTCCAAACGAGACACTGCTATCAACGGGAGCCTCAAAGGACACACGTGCATCAATGAATGTAGCTCCAAAGCAGGCGCTCCCATGAATGGATTTAGTGTAATGTCGTAGTAGTAGTAGTAGTAGTAGTAGTAGTAGTAGTAGTAGCAGCAGCAGCAGCAGCAGCAGCAGCAGCAGTAGTAGTAGTAGTAGTAGTAGTAGTAGTAGTAGTAGTAGTATGGGCACGGACCCGTAAGACCTGAGTCTCTACCGGGGTGCTCGGCGAAACCATTGATGATGATGATGTGATGATTGATGAGGATGATGGGATGATGACCGCG